TCCGGCTTTTTTCTTTTTGCTTATGTGGTGCTGAGGAATCGAACCCAGGGCCTCTGGCATGCAAGGCATGCGCTCTACCACTGAGCCACCTTCCAAGCCCCTCTTTAGATTTATCTTAACTAATGTTGGATTCAGACATTTGTGCTCAAAACTCTTTGTTTTGGTGCTAGTCCTGGAGTTTGAATTCAGGGCTCGCAAGGGCTGTCCCTGAGCTTTTTTTTTTTTGGGTCGGGTCGTGGGGCCTGAACTCTGGGCCTGGGCCTATCCCTCAGCTCTTCAGCTCAAGGCTAGCGCTCTACCACTTGAGCCACACTTGCCACTTCCGGCTTTTTTCTTTTTGTTTATGTGGTGCTAAGGAATCGAACCCAGGGCCTGAGGCATGCAAGGCAAGTGCTCCATCACTGAGCCACCTTCCCAACCCCCTGAGCTTTTTTTTTTTTTTGCTCAAGGCTAGTGCTCTACCATGTGAGCCAGCTCCACTTCCAGATTTTTGGTGAATAATCAAATAAGAGTCTTATGGACTTTCCTGTTCAGGCTGGCTTTGAACTGTGATCTGCAGATCTCAGCCTCCTGAGCAGTTGAATGACAGGCATGAACCTGGCTGTCTTGTCCTTCATCTTTACCCATCTTCTATCTTCCCCCATCCAAGAGACACAGTTTACTGTTGGATCCTAATCAGTTTATGATGTTTAGGATTTGGGATCAGAGGACTTGGCACTTTGGGCTGCCAAGTACTGGCTATGTGATTTTGAAGAAATTGCTTAATCTTTCTGTGCTTCATCTGTTTACTTAACTTTATTTATTTATTTATTTGGTGGCACTATGGAGTTTGAACTCAAGGAGGCCTCATGCTCCATCATTTGAGCCACTGTGATAGTCCCTTGGCCCTGTCTTTATGGAGCTCACATTAGTTTTATAGAACAAGTATGAAGATTAATGATGAAATACAGCAGGATAGTATAGCAGAGAGAGGACTGGCTTTGGAGCCAAATGAATATTGTTTCTAAGTCCTAATTCTAAGATTGGGTGCTGGTGTCCCAAACCTGTAATCCTAGCTACTCGGGAGGCTGAGATCTGAAGATCACAGTTCAAAACCAGCCTGGACAGGAAAGTCTGTGAGACTTAACTCCAATTAACCAGCAAAAAGCTGGAAGTGGAGCTGAGTTTCAAGTAACAAATGCCAGCCTTGAGAGAAAACAATTTAAAAAACCCTAGTTCTGCTACTTCTGTCCTGTTTCTTAACTTGTTTACTTTGTATGATACTCTGTATGATACTTTGTATCATACTCTGTATGATAGCTGTGTGGATTAAATGAGATAAAGAATATAAAGCTGGAGGCTGGGAAGGTGGCTCAGCGGTAGAGCGTTTGCCTTGCATGCCTGAGGCCCTGGGTTCGATTCCTCAGCACCACATAAGCAAAAAGAAAAAAGCCGGAAATGGCGCTGTGGCTCAAGTGGTAGAGCGCTAGCCTTGAGCTGAAGAGCTGAGGGACAGTGCCCAGGCCCAGAGTTCAGGCCCCACGACCGGACCCAAAAAAAAAAAAAAAAAAGAATATAAAGCTGGGGCTGGGAAGGTGGCTCAGTGGTAGAGCGCTTGCCTTGCATTCATGAGGCCCTGGGTTTGATTCCTCAGCATCACATAAGCAAAAAAAAAAAAAAAGCTGGAAGTGGTGCTGTGGCTCAAGTGGTAGAGCTCTAGCCTTGAGCTGAAGAGCTGATAGACAGCACCCACGCCCAGAGTTTAGGCCCCACGACTGGACCCAAAAAGAAAAAAAAAAAGAATATAGAGCATGTAATACATACTACTCACAATAGCAATGGGCGGTTGCTATTATTATACATTTAGAAATGCTTTGAAAGCAGTACATGCAATTGGCATTGTTACCATTACCTCTTTTTTCCACATGGCAATTAGATTCCCTCTCATGCTTGGCATCTGGCAATCCCTAAGCTTGTATAACCAAGAAGTCACTTGCCCATCTCCGTCACTGATATGTTTCCCTCTTACTCTATCAGGCTTAGCTTTTTTTTATTTCAATTTTTTGTTTTTTCTCCAGTCTGGTGTTCCATCATTTGAGCCACACTTCTACTTCTGACATTTGTTGTTGTTGTTGTTTGCTGGTTAATTAGAAATAAGAGTCTCATAGACATTCTTGACTTCAAATCTCAGTCCTCAGATCTCAGCCTCCTTGTGGTTAGTATTACCAGCACCCGACCCAAAGTATTCTCTTTTGTGTTTTCAACCGGGTGTAATAAGCACTTATATGTTCTTTGCTATCTTGGTCTTCCTTATCTAAGGCTGCCTCTGTCATGTGCCTCTGTCAGGGTCTTCCATGAAGCAACATCCAATACACATATTTTCCACATTCTTTTTTTTTTAATTTTATTTTTGTCAGTTGTGGGGCTTGTACTTTGAGCTGCTCTTCAGCTCAAAGCGAGTGCTCTACCACTTGAGCCACAGCACCACTTCTGGTTTTCTGGTGGTTTATTGGAGATGAGTCTCGCAGCCTTCCTGCCTGGGCTGGCTTTGAACCTTTTTTTTGGGGGGGGTCCAGTCGTGGGGCCTGAACTCTGGACCTGGGCGCTGTCCCTCAGCTCTTCAGCTCAACACTAGCGCTCTACCACTTGAGGCACAGCGCCACTTCCAGCTTTTTTCTTTTTGCTTATGTGGTGCTGAGGAATCGAACCCAGGGCCTCGGGCATGCAAGGCAAGCACTCTACCACTGAGCTACCTTCCCAGCCCCTGGCTTTGAACCTTGATCCTCAGATCTCAGCCGTTTAGGTAGCTGGGATTACAGGTGTGAGCCACCAATGTCTACCACATTTCTTTTTTTTTTTTTTTTTTTTGGGTCTGGTCGTGGGGCCTGAACTCTGGGCCTGGGCGCTGTCCCTCAGCTCTTCAGCTCAAGGCTAGCACTCTACCATTTGAGCCACAGTACCACTTCCGGCTTTTTTTTTTCTGTTTATGTGGTGCTGAGGAATCGAACCCAGGGCCTCATGCATGCAAGGCAAACGCTCTACCACTGAGCCACCTTCCCAGCCCTGTCTACCACATTTCTATTCCTTATATAAACCATAATGTTCAGGATCCTTCACTGAAAGTCTAGCTGAAACTATAGGTATCCATAACATATGTATGAACATGCATATGTGAACACATAACACATAACACCTTAACAGTTTTAGGGGCTTATGAGCCCTCACCAAGCCCAAATTTAGATTGGACCATAGACCTGTGGTTATAACTCCTAATTGGAAAGGACACTGACTTTGGAATGTCAGGATTCATGTTCCAGCTCTGTTGTGGCTTTGTGACCTGGAGCAAGTCATTTGCTCTTCATTAGAATAAGCTGGACAGCTTGATTTATAAAGTGTCCCCACCTCTAAAAATCATACTAAAGGTGGGCACCTGTGGCTCACACCTGTAATCCTAGCTACTCAGGAGGCTGAGAGCTGAGGATCGAGGTTCAAAGTCAGCTCAGGCAGGAAAGTCAGTGAGAGACTCTCATCTCCCATAAACCACTAGAAAACCGGAAGTGGCACTGTGGCTCAAGCAGTAGAGTGCTTGCCTTGAGCTGAAGAGTACAGGGACAGCGCCCAAGCCCAGAGTTCAAGCCCTACAACGGACCAAAAAAAAAAAAAGTCATACTAAGATGACCATTTCCTTTGATGTTGCATAATCATTAAATAGTCCTGAGTATGATAGCACACACCTGTAACCCCAACATTTGGGAGGCTGAGGCAAGAGGATTTTGAGTTCTAGGCCAGCCTGGCCTACATAGTGAGACTATTTCAGAAAACAAAACAAAAAGTCCATATTATATGCAAAAGAGATTTAACTGAAATAGAATGGATGTAAGCTTTCTGGTAGGGTCTTCTCTCTTATGTGTTATCTTCCCCTTTGCTTTATTCCACTGTCCTATTATTTGCATGTCAGGACGGCTGTCACCCAATGCATTGTGCTAAACTGTCTCAAAGAGGGAAGTGGGGCTGAAAAGATCTCAACGGAAAGAACAAAGATGGCAAAGAATTCAGGCAGTAGTGACCTTTCAGGAGCAATTGCCAAAAGTGAGGGTGGGAAAGAGTTTCTTTTTCATGCTGTCTTTTCTCAAGACCATCCTTTAAAAGTCAGTTAAATATAGCATGTTAGAAAAGAGCTTATGCTGCTTTGCAAACTCTAGCTGGTATCTGAGGTCCTTGTTTCAGCTACTGAGCAGGCCAGACAACTTATTATGGGCCACTAGATTTTGAGCCTCTTGATAGCAAGGACTGTGCTATTCTTTGTATTCCTAGTGACTAGAATGGAAGTACTTACTGAAGTTCAAATGCTTGCTTAATTAAAATGTACAGATCAGATGACTAGCTCTGGGAACCTGGCTGACTGACAACCTCCTAAGTAGCTAGGATTATAGGGTTTTTGTTTGTTTGTGGGTTTGGGGTTTTTGTTTTTGACAGTACTCAGGGCTTGAACTCAGGGCCTGGGCACTGTCTCTGAGCTTCTTTGCTCAAGGCAGGCACTCTACTACTTGAGCCATAGCACCACTTCAAGCTTTTTCTGTGTATGTGGTACTGAGGAATCAAACCCAAGGCTTCATGCATGCTAGGCAAACACTCTACCACTAAGCCACGTTCCCAGCCCAAGATTATAGGTTTGAACGACCTGTGCCCACCATCTTTTTTTTCTTCCAACTTTATATCCACTGCATAGTTCCACGTACAGGAAGCAGATTGTCATGGCTCTAAGCAGTTCATTAATTACTGTATCTGTGTAGTGTCTGGACTAATCAAAATGTGAATTAGAGGGTTGGAGGAGGGCAAGCATGGCCTTCCAATGTAAACTGACTTAAATCACTGTCTAGTTTTATTAAAACAAATGTTTTCAAATGGTGATAGGAAACCAAGGAGCTCTAAATGTAGGTATGGATTGTAGTACCGCGTTGAAATTCAGCACCACTTGGAGGTGATCTCACTGCCAATGGTAACTGTTTCTCTGTTCATAGTGAATGTGGTAGAGGCCCTCCAGGAATTCTGGCAGATGAAGCAATCCCGCGGGGCTGACTTGAAGAATGGGGCTCTAGTGGTGTATGAGATGGTTCCTTCCAACAGTCCCCCCTATGTCTGCTATGTCACCCTGCCTGGAGGAAGCTGCTTTGGGAGTTTCCAGGTGAGAGTGGAGGCAGCAAGGTGAAGATAAAGAACGTTATAACTTTGGCCATTAACTTTCTTTTCTTCTTCTTCTTCCTCTTCTTCTTCTCCTTCTCCTTCTTCTTTTTTTGTCAGTCCTGGGTCTTGAACTCTGGGCCTGGGCACTGTCCCTCAGCTCTTCAGCTTAAGACTTGCACTCTACCACTTGAGCAATAGCACCACTTCAGGTTTTCTGGTGGTTAATTGGAGATAAGAGTCTCCCAGACTTTCCTGCCTGGGCTGGCTTTGAACTGTGATCCTCAGATCTCAGCCTTTTGAGTAGCTAGGATTATGGGCATGACCACCGGTGCCTGGCTGGCCATTAAATTTCTGCTTGAACATTTCAGGACTAAATCAATTCCAGTAAATTATTTGGGCAAGCATCCGATGCTCAGTAGCTTACAAAATAATCTCAGTTGCATACTTTTCTTTCAACCTTCAAAATTTCAAACCCTTGCTGGCATTACAGGCTTATGTCTGTAATCTTAGCTACTTCATGATGTGAAGCTAGCCTAGGAAACAAATACAAGAGACTCTTATCTGCAATTAACCAGCAGAAACCTGAAAGAAGAGCTATGGCACAAGCTCTTTCTTAGCATTCTTGCTCAAAATGCTAAGGGGAGTTTGAGGCTCTGAGTTTCAAGCCCCAGTACCAGAAAACAAAACAACAACAAAACACAACCACCCTCAGATCTCAGCCTCCTGAGTAGCTAGGATTGCAGGTATGAGTCATAAGCATCCAGCCTTTTTTCTTGCTTCTACTGGGAAGAAATTTTAAAAGACTGTATGTTTGTTTTTAGTGTTAGATTCTATTCAGGAACAGCTCCTTAGGTACACAGTATTATTGGGGAAAATGCTATTTACAGCTAAATGTGAAGCCCAAGAATCTCAGAAATCCCTAGCAGAGGCAGCGTAGACACAGCTTTGTTCTAATCTTGACTGCCTAGAGGAATGGAAAATACCTTGCCTGTCCGGAGAACAAGAGAACCAAACCATGATTGATTTCTAAAATGCTAACTAGAATCTGGCTTTTGAGTGATCAGTTCTGTTGACAGTTTAAACCGAAGCATAAGCATTTTTTACGTCTAATGATTATATGCTGATGTCAGCAGGCTTCCTCATTCTGCATTCAATTTAGTATGTGTTACAAACCATGCCCAGTTCTTTAATGACTTCAGGATGGTGAATCAAAATTACATTTCCAAGCCTGGTGTTTGGGGCTCACGCCTGTAATCCTAGCTACTCAGGAGGCTGAGATCTGAGGATGGTCATTCAAAGCCAGCCTGGCCTATGAGACTCTTTTTTTGGTCCGGTCGTGGGGCCTGAACTCTGGGCCTGGGTGCTGTCCCTCAGCTCTTCAGCTCAAGGCTAGCGCTCTACCACTTGAGCCACAGCGCCACTTCTGGCTTTTTTCTTTTTGCTTGGGGTGCTGAGGAATCGAACTCAGGGCCTCAGGCATGCAAGGCAAGCGCTCTACCACTGAGCCACCTTCCCAGCCCCGAGACTCTTTTAATTACCAAAAAGTGGGAGTGAAGGTATGGCTCAAGTGGTAGAGTCAGTACTAGCTTGAGAAAAAGAAAAAAAAAGGAAAGAAAAGAAAATTAAAGACAGCACCCAGGTCCTGAGTTCAAGCCCCAGGACCAGCACAAACAAGTGGAAAGTGGAAGCACACAGGAGGATAAGGAAGGAGGAAGGATCTTGAATTCTAGGCTGACCCTGTCACAGACAAACAAATAATGGTGTAGGCAGCACAGGGAAAGAAAAGAGGTCAAGGTCAGCTCCCAAGTGGAGGGTCCAGAGGCCTGTGGACCAGAGCCATCCTGCTTGAGCTCTGAAGTGAGGAATACAACAAAGATGCTCAAGGGAAGACATAAACATTACACCTTCCAGTCCCAGAAGACTGAACCATGCTTGAGACTCCAGGAGGGGAAGAAGATTAGAAGGATGGAAGGAGACACCCTGGAAGACATAGCCAGTCTTCTGCTCCAGGGCCTCTTCTCAGAGAGTCTGTTCCTTCAGCTTCCAGCCAGTGCCACTCATAAATCTTATACTCCTATTCTTTGTTTTGTTTTTTTTATTTGGCATTCTTTAAACATCTCCTCTAGACTATTCAGGCCTCATAGAAGATAGGCGGCCCACCATGGCTCCAGCTGGGGATTTATACTGACCTGCCAGTTACCAAAGGGTAAACTGTCGGGGACTTTGCTTCTTGCTAAGCTCTCAGCTTCCTTAGCCTATCCTCCTGTGTCCTTTCCTTCAGTTCTTTGTTGGGTTGGAAACAAACCTGACCTGTAGACAATAACACAAAACAACGAAGCTACGCTTCCAAGCATCCCAGCTACTTACAATAAAAACTTTGGAAAATGTGTTGACCACAACTAGTTCATGCTGTTGTTTGTCAGTGTCTTTTACCTCAAGTGTTTCCTTCCCATGGTTTGTTCCTCTTTCTAAATGGACATATGCACATATGTCTCTTTCTCTTGTCCCTGCCTAGTTTTGCCCCACCAAAGCTGAGGCCCGGAGAAGTGCTGCAAAAATTGCATTGATGAACTCTGTGTTTAATGAGCATCCTTCCCGAAGAATCACCGATGAGTTCATTGAGAAGAGCGTCTCCGAGGCCCTGGCGTCATTCAATGTAAGGAAATGGGAATCGGAACAGAACTCTTTTGTCTGTCTACATTTCTGTTCTTCTGGTTTATTTTCTTTTACTTCTGGTTTACTTTTTTTTTTGGTCTGTGTGTCAATCTTTAATTCTAACTGGATGCTTATGTGGCTCAAGTGGTAAAGCACTAACCTTGAGCAAAAAAAAAAAAAAAGTAGGTCAGGGACTGGGAATGTGGCTTAGTGGCAGAGTGCTTTCCTACCTTGCATGAAGCCCTGAGTTTGATTCCTCAGTACCACATACACAGAAAAAGCAGGAAGTGGTGCTGTGGCTCAAGTGGTAGTGTGCTAGCCTTCAGCAAGAGCAGCTCAGGGACAGTGCCCAGGCCCTGAGTTCAAGCCCCAGGACTGCCAAAACAAAAACAAAAACAAACAAAAAGAAAGGAACAGTGCTTAGGCCCTAAATTCAAGCCCCAGGAATTGCGCACGCATGCGTGAGCGTGTGCACACACACACACACACACACACACACACACACGTTACCATTGCCTTTATCCTACTTCCCAACAAACTCATTGACAGAGTGATAAAGTCAGCCCAATTTTCTGTTTCTCTTCTCTTTGTACTAACATGTAATTATGTATACTATTCATTTATCTGCCTTGTGTATTAGATGTTGCACTTTTTAAAATCATAAAGTTGCTTCTCTTTGTTGCTTAGAACTCATTCTTCTTTGCCTTAATCAATATTCTGTGTGTGTGTGTGTGTGTGTGTGTGTGTGTGTGTGTGGTGTGTGTACTGGTCGTGGGGCTGGAATTCAGGACCTGGGTGCTGTCCATGAACAGTTTTGCTCAAAGTTAGCATTCTACTACTGAGCCACAAATCTGCTTCCACCTTTCTGGTGGTTAATTTGAGATAAGAGTCTCGGGGCGGGAAGGTGGCTCAGTGGTAGAGCACTTGCCTTGCATACTCGAGGCCCTGGGTTCAATTCCTCAGCACCACATAAGAAAAAAGCTGGAAGTGGTGCTGTGGGACCCCCCCCCCCCCAAAAAAAAAAAAGTCTCAAGGACTGGACTCCTGGGCTGACTTCAGCTACTCAGAATTTCCCATGCTTGCTTTTACCAGCTCCCTTTCAAGTATATTGTTTTGTTGTCCTTTTGGTTAGTGAAATAGAATCTTGAATTCTTACCTCATGCACTCACTGTTATTTTGGCTAAATCAGAGTACCTTTTATTCAGTATTCCCTCATTGTGAAACAGGGAAAATCAGATTAGTGTTTTCTTTATGAGCCAAGATAAAATGTGTGATGTCCTGTAGGCCTGTGATGACTAATAGAATTGCCACTAGCAACACAGAAATGTGGTTAGCATGATGCACTGACATGTGCTCTAATAGACCTCAAAACTTTAGTACACACATTTTTGTTAGTCTGTGTGTGTGTGTGTGTGTGTGTGTGTGTGCATGCACTCACGCATGTGCTAGAACTGGCTTGAACCCAGGGCCTGGGCACTGTCCCTTAGCTTCTTTGGCTCAAGGATGGCCCTCTACTATTTGAACCACAGCTAAACTTCCAGCTTTTTGATGGTTAATTGGAAATAAGAGTGTCATGGATTTTAATAGCTGTGCTGGATGTGAGCCATTGGTGCCCAGAATAAAATATTTTATTAATAATGTTTGCCGGGTGCCAGTGGCTCACGCCTGTAATCCTAGCTACTCAGGAGACTGAGTCTGAGGATCACGGTTCAAAGCCAGCCCTGGCAGGAAAGTCCGTGAGACTCTTATCTATAATAAAACACTAGAAAAGCAGAAGTGGTGCTGTGGCTCAAGTGGTAGAGCGCTCACGTTGAACTGAAGAGCGCAGGGATGGCACCTAGGCCCAGAGTTCAAGCCCCAAGACCAACAACAACAACAACACAAAGTTTATACTTACTATAATGAAGAACAATATTTTACATAAAATATTAAAACATACTACTTAAATAAAATACATTATTAGGGACTGGGAAGGTGGCTCAGTAATAGAGTGCTTGCCTTGCATGCATGAGACCTTGGGTTTGATTCCTTAGCACCATATAAGCAGAAAAAGCCAGAAGTGGCACTGTGGCTCAAGTGCTAGCCTTGATTTGAAGAGCTGAGAGACAGTGCCCAGGCTCAGAGTTCAAGCCCCACAACTGGCAAAAAATAAAAAATAAAAATATATATTAAATTTACCTGTTGATTTTTATTTTAAGGTGGCAACTGGAAATTTTGAAATTAAATATGTGGCTCACATTTTATTTCTGTTGGATAGTGCTGCCTAGAATGATAATTCTGTTTGGACAGCTATTTGTCTTTTCCTTTCCTCTTACCAGGGAAACAGGGAGGAAGCTGACAACCCCAATACAGGAATTGGTGCCTTCCGATTCATGTTGGAATCTAACAAGGGCAAGTCAATGTTGGAATTTCAGGTACTCTTATACTACTTCTCTGGCTCTGATAATAATAATATCTAATATCTAATAATATCTCTAATAATGGCATCATATGTATATATCCTCTTACAAACCTCAAATTTATTTATTTATTTATTTATTTATTTATTTTTTTGGGTTTGGTCGTGGGGCCTGAACTCTGGGCCTGGGCGCTGTCCCTCAGCTCTTTAGCTCAAGGCTAGAGCTCTACCACTTGAGCCACAGCGCCACTTCTGGCTTTTTTCTTTTTGCTTATGTGGTGCTGAGGAATCGAACCCAGGGCCTCATGCGTGCAAGGCAAGCGCTCTACCACTGAGCCACCTTCCCAGCCCAAACCTCAAATTTATTGATACTAAACAAGAAGGGAAAGAAAGTGATTAGAATACTTTTCCAAAGGCTGGGAAGGTGACTCAGTGGTAGAGCGCTTGCCTTGCATGCCTCAGGCCCTGGGTTCAATTCCTCAGCACCACATAAGCAAAAAGAAAAAAGCTGGAAGTGGCGCTGTGGCTCAAGTAGTAGAGTGTAAGCCTTGAGCTGAAGAGCTGAGGGACAGCGCCCAGGCCCAGAGTTCAGGCCCCACGACCGGACCCAAAAAGAAAAAAAAAAAAGAATACTTTCCCAAATATACCTTTGTTTCCCCAAGGTATATCAGAGTTCATGATTAGAGATGCTACCACAAATACATTTTGTATAAAGTTCCCCAGTGGGCTGGGAATGTGGCTTAGTGGTAGAGTGCTTGTCTAGCATGCATGAAGCCCTGGGTTCCATTCCTCAGTACCACATGAACAGAAAAAGCCAGAAGTGGCACTGTGGCTCAAGTGGTAGAGTGCTAGCCTTGAACAAAAAATTCTAGGGACAGTGCCCAGACTGTGAGTTCAAGCCCCAGGACTAGCAAAAAAAAAAAAAAGTTCCCCATGTAATTCTGATGCAACCTCCCAGTATAAAATTGTTGTGCTGGGGCTAGGAAGGTGGCTCAGTGGTAGAGGTCTTGCCTTGAGCTGAAGAGCTGAGGGACAGCGCCCAAGCCCAGAGTTCAGGCCTCACGACCGGACCCAAAAAAAAAAAAATTGTTGTGCTAGTATTTTATATATTCTCCCTCCAGGAACTAATGACAGTTTTCCAACTATTGCACTGGAATGGCAGCCTTAAGGCCATGAGGGAAAGACAGTGCTCTCGGCAGGTAAGAGATTTTATGAGAGAGGGGAATGGAGAAGAAGAACTATTTTAAGGTAGCTGCTTTGCTAGAAATAAGTTGTTCTATGTTACTGGCTGTGACTACTGAAAGCCTTATTTAAATACCACTTCATTCCTGTAATACTTCCTATTAAAATCTTCACAGTGATTCTTTTATATGCCAGGAGTCTCCCTTAAGATTCCCTTAGAATAGCCAGGTGCTGGTGGCTCATGCCTGTAATCCTAGCTACTCAGGAGGCTGAGATCAGAGGATCATGGATCAAAGCTAGCCCGAGCAGGAAAGACCGTGAGACTCCTATCTCCAATAAACCACTAGAAAACCGGAAGTGGTGCTGTGGCTCAAGTGGGTAGAGCACTGGCCTTGAGCTGAAGAGCTGAGGGACAATGCCCAGGCCCAGAGTTCAAGCCCCATGACAACAACAACAACAAAAAAAAAAAGAATTCCTTTAGAGTCAGGTGCTAGTGGCTCACCCCTATAATCCTAGCTATTCAGAAGGCTGAGATCTGAGGGAGAGCAGCTTGACGCCAGCCTGGTCAGACTAATCTGTGGTACCTTTTTCTCTAGATGACCAGCAAAAAGCCAGAACGGAAGGTGTGGCTTAAGTGGTAGAGCACCAACTCAAGGCTCTGAGTTCAAGTCCCAGTACCAACACACACACACACACAGACACACAGACACACAGACACACACACACACACACACACACACACACACACACCTTGGAAGGCAGGCACCAGGGGCTCATGTCTGTAAATCTGGCTATTTGAGAGGTAGATTAGGAAAATCATGATTCAAGGCCAGCCCTGACAAATACATTCATGAGACCTCCCATCTCAGCTAATAGCTGTGTGCAGTGGTGCACAACTGTTATGCCAGTAACCTGTTCATTTCAACAGACAGCTCGACAACTGTCATCCCAGCTACTAGAAATGTAAATACGAAGACTCATATGTCCAGGCTGGCATGAGCAAGGAGCAAGATCCTTTCTCTAAAATAGCCGAGTAAAGCTGGACACTGGTAGGTTACACCTGTAATCTTAGCTACTCAGGAGACTGAGATCTGAGGATCCTGGTTTGAAGCCATCTCATGCAGAAAAAGTGGGACTCATCTCTAATTAACCAACAAAAAATAGAGCTGTGGCTCAAGTGACAGAGCACTAGCCTTGAGCAAAAATGTTAAGTTACAGTGCCCAGGCCCTGAGTTCAAGTCCCGGTACCAGGTAGCACGCGTGCGTGCGAGAGTGTGTGTGCACGCGCACACATACACACAAAGCAAGAGTTCAAAGGATTGGAGGCATGACTCAAAGAGTGTCTGCCTAACAAGTTAGAAACCCCACAGTACCACTCTGTGTGGGAAGACCTTGGAGAGCCGAGACTGTGCCAGATAGTAAGACCTTGTTTCAGAAGGAAAAAGAAGAATCTTATTGGACTCAGGTGCTGACCTCAGACCTCAGTTAGGAAGTTAGGCTCCGAGGTTAGCCCCCAGCTGGGTGACTGTGGTTTGATCTGTGGTTTTACCTTTGCTGAGATCTATTTTCTCCTGATTAGGAGGTGTTGGCTCATTATTCACACCGGGCACTGGATGATGATATTCGCCACCAAATGGCCTTGGACTGGGTGAGCCGGGAGCAGACTGTGCCCGGGGCACTGTCTAGAGAGCTGGCCTCCACTGAACGGGAGCTGGATGAGGCCCGGCTCGCGGGCAAGGAACTGCGCTTCCACAAGGAAAAGAAAGATATTCTCATGCTGGCTGCTGGACAGTTGAGCAATATGCACCCCTCCAACTGCTAGGCCTCTCTCCTCACATGGCCTGTCCTCTTTAGCCCTTTTTTCTATGTCTCTTTCTAAGACTTAGGATAATTTCTGTATATACTTTCTCAGTTTTGTACTTTAAAAAATATATATGTATAAATTCTACACCTGGATTCCTATTTGCTAAATCTCTTTCTAACTTCTAGCTTTGGGTATCTTTTCATTTGAAACATCTCCTTTCAATTTGGATCTCTGGTGGTGTTTATACTTCCAGATCAACTCTGTGCAGTCCTCAGTTGCTCACTGTCATTGACTGTTGGTGTCTCCTTTAAAATAACAGGGAGACTAAGCAGGATCATATGCCCACTCTCACCCTCATTCTTGCTTTCTCCTGGACTCAAACAGGGTATGAGTAAGAAGCCTTTGGCTTTGGTTTATCTGGAGCCAGTACTGCTTAGTACTCCTCCTCGCCCCATCACTACCTTATTACTTCTTTGCCTCCAAACACCTTTTTGTGGGTTTTCTTTTTTTTTTTTTTGGTGGGTGGGGAGAGGAAAGGATTGTACAGGGGCTAGAATTTCAGTGCCTGGGCACTTTTTTGCTCAAGGCTAGTGCTTCATCACTTGAGCCACAGCTTCACTTCTAACTTTTTGCTGGTTAATTGGAAATAAGAGTCTCTTGGACTTTTTGCCCAGGCTGGCTTTGAACCTGGATCTTCATATCTCAGCCTCCTGAGTAGACAGGTTGACAGGCATGAGCCCAACCAACAGCCCCTGGCTAGTTTCTGATCTTTAAGTCACAACTAAAAAACTGCCCAGAAATGAGAGAAAAATTATAAACACAATTAATGGGCATAACTAACTAAGTTGATTCTGGGCCTAATCTCTACGCTTCTGCCAGTCCAGGTTTCTGGATGTACATAGGAAGAGCATCAGGGTTGAGACTGATTATTTTTCCCTTTCTTCTCTGTTCCTTTATCTTAGTTAAATACTAGATTAAAATCTTCCTGCCTACAAAGATTGGTAGAAGATAAAATTATTCCTTTCTATCCCCGTGCTTTTGCTCTGTGGAAGCAGTGGCTGTTCTATTTGGTGAGTCAGGAAGTGAATCCCTCTCACTTCCACTAAGTTGCTGTTGTTTATACTTTATATATATATTTTAGATTCTCATTTCTTTTTCTTTTCCTCCAAAGTATTGCAGTATGGATTGATCAGGAAAATTAGATGAAAATATAGTTTTATGGCACTTTCTAATTGGAACCTTGGGAAACTAAAGGAGAAGAAAGAAAACCAATAATCAGCTCTTTGTGTTTTTAATGAATAGTTTTCCTTCCTCACCTCTCTTGGGTGAAATTAGGGAGAAACAGTATGGAATACAGCCAGAGCATTTTCCTTTTGGACATTTTTTTGTTTTGAGATGAAAACACATTCTCCCTTGTTTCTGAAGTCTCCTTTATACTGCAGTGTTGTACAGTGCTCTTTCCTGAGTCTGCGTTTAATGTTCCATCAAGTGGAGCATTTCCATTTAACATAGGTTTGCTTTCACATGTAATTAGGAAACAGACTATAACTTGCTCTTTTGGATTAGATAAGAGCAAGATGACAAAGAGATTTCTTGACTTTGAAATCATCTTTGGGACCCATACCCATAGGTTCAGAGGTAATAATCCAGATACAATTGTATGAGCACTTGAATTTTTAAGCCCTTTCTTTGTATTCTATGCAACACATGTAGGGTTGGAGTAGACTTCCACACTAAATAATAGGTACATTTATTTTATTGATATTTATAATCCAAAACCATACATAAGTCTTCTATTTTCTCCTGCACTTCTTTCTTTGGGAAGAAGGATTAAGTGGTAGGAGTTGTAGGAAGAACTACCTTTGTATCTGTTGAATTCATTATTTTTCTGTTACCCAAGATCACAAAAAACTTGAGAAACTTTGTCCTCCAATTTGTCTACTTTTGGTATTAAAGATTTTAGTTATCTTCTTAATACTTGTATTTTATATATAATTTTATGCATTAAAATAGATTTTGTTGGTGCAGTGAGTCAGTAGGACTCTTTATTTATACATCAGAGGAACTCTAAAATGGTCCCATTCATTTATTCATATACTAAAAAAACTGTTTTGGTGCCAGTACTGGTGGTTGGATTTGAGCTCTTAGCATTTTTTTTTTCCAGTTGTGGGGCTTGAACTCTGGACCTGGGCACTGTCCCTCAGCTCTTCAGCTTAAGGCTAGCGCTCTACCACTTGAGCCACAGTGCCACTTCTGGTTTTCTGGTGGTTTACTGGAGATAAGAATCTCACGAACTAGCCGGGCGCTGGTGGCTCACGCCTGTAATCCTAGCTACTCAGGAGGCTGAGATCTGAGGATCGCGGTTCAAAGCCAGCCCGGGCAAGAGAGACTGTGAGACTCCTATCTCCAATAAACCATCAGAAAACCGGAAGTGGCGCTGTAGCTCAAGTGGTAGAGCTGAGGGATAGCGCCCAGGCCCAGAGTTCAAGCCCCACGACCGACAAAAAAAAAAAAAAGAATCTCACGAACTTTCCTGCCCAGACTGGCTTTGAACAACGATTCTCAGATCTCAGCCTCCTGAGTAGCTAGGATACAGGTGTGAGTCACCAGCACCCGCAGGCTCTTAGCGTTTTCTACTCACAGCAGGTGCTCTAGATAAGTGTCTTGGATTTGTCTGCCCAGGCTAGCACCAAAATACCATTCTCAGATCTCAGACTCTTAGGATTATAATCGTGAGGCACCAGTGCCCAGCTCTTAAAAAAAAAAAAAGTTTTATTATTTTGAGAGTGAAAGAAATAAGATTGCAGTGCATGGAAAGGCAGTCTGCCTCCACTCTGGACAGACAGTTCAGGAGCCTGGAATCTGCCCATGGCCCTTTAGCTCTTCAGTCTCCACTCATCCCCACTGCAATCTCACCTATTTTAATGGTTTCTACTCCTCCGTACACAGACGGACAACCCTTTCATCTATTTTTATACTGGACATCACGACCTGAATATGACAGAGCACTGTGAACTTACATATTCAAAATAAAACTCATTTCTCCATACTTGCTTCTCATGACTCCATTGTTGAATCCCCGTAATTACCTAAGCCAGAAACATAAGCTCCATCTTCACCAAATCTCTTATCATTACCAGAAATTATCTCCTACTCCAAGGGCTGCTGGGTGTGTGATTTTCGCTAGTACTGATGTTTATATTGCTGTGAAAAATGCTCTTTAGAATTTTGAGGCCTACCTGAAGTTGTTTTGATAGGGCTAAATCACATTAAATTTTGTGTGTGTGTGTGTCAGTACTGGGGCTTGAACTCAGGGTCTGGGTGCTATCCCTTAGCTTTTCTGCTCAAGATTAGCATCCTCCCACTTGAGCTATAGCTCCACTTCTGGTTCTCTGAGTGTTTTTTGGAGATAAGAATCTCACGGACTTTCCTGCCTGAGCTGGCTTTGAACCGCGATCTTCAGCTCTCCTGAATAGCTAGGATTACACATAAGCAGAGCCACCGGCGCCTGACTGACTTCCTGCTCCTAAACTTGGGTGGGGGTGTTTAGCCCAGCGAAAGGGCGCCCGCCCAGCACGCGCTGAGTAGCTAGGATTAAAGGCAGGCGCCTGACTAGCTTTTTGTCAATGAATCCTTGAGCTTAGAATGATGATTATGGCTTTTTTTTTCTTTTCCCGCCAGCCACAGTGCCACTTCTGGTTTTCTGGTGGTTCATTGGAGAGCTTAACAGATTTTCTTGCCCTGTCCCTCACCTCTTCACCTCTTCAGCTCAAGGCTAGCGCTCTACCATTCGACCACGGCGCCACTTCTGGCTTTTTCTGCTTATGTGGTGCTGAGGAATCGAACCCAGGGCCTCATGCATGCAAGGCAAGCGCTCTACCAATGAGCCACCTTCGCAGCCCAGCTAGCCATTCTTAATAAGGAACTTAGCTCGGGCTTCGCTTTGAGGGTTTTTAGACTCCGCCTTCTACCCTAGCTGGTCCCGCCCAGAGAGCCCTGGGTCAGCTCGAGACCTCCTCAAGATGGCTACAGAAGCACTTCCGCTTTCTTTCTAAACTAGTCCCGCCTTCGATAAATCCCACCTCCCGCGCGCCGAGGGCGGAGCTTAGGATTAGCCTCTGATTGGTCAGCTCGACTGGCGACCTTTCCTCTCTGCGACAGTTTCCCGAGGTTCTTAGCGCTTCAGTGGCGCCGACGGGAGCTGGAAGGCAGGCAAGATGGCGGACGTACTGGACCTTCACGAGGCTGGGGGCGAGGATTTCGCCATGGATGAGGATGGGGACGGTGAGGACGGTGGAGGCGGCTGCGGGAAGTGGGGAAGGTGCGAGGGGAGACTGTCACTGGAGACATTTCTGCGGGAGCGGGGCCCCAGGGTGCGGACACAGGGTCTCAGTAGGCCCCGCCCCCGTGGAGGGATGGGCGGGCCCGGGCCGAGCCTGGTAGTCGGGAGGAATGTGCTTCAGGGAGTGTCCTGGGGAGAAGGCGGTCGTGTCAATGACTTTCATACCTGTTCTTTGTTTTGGGGGCTCCAGAGAGCATCCACAAACTGAAAGAAAAGGCGAAGAAACGGAAGGGCCGCGGCTTTGGCTCGGGTGAGTGTGGGGGACGTGGGAGGCCGTGGGCCAATAGGACGGGAGCCCGACTCCCGAAAAACACTCGGGGAAAAGGAAGAGTTTTCGGTGATCTGGTGTGTGTTCCTTTCAGAAGAGGGGTCCCGGGCGCGTATGCGCGAGGATTACGACAGCGTGGAACAGGATGGAGATGAACCCGGACCGCAGCGCTGTGAGTTTCCTTGAGCCCATGGGGATCAGGAATTAGGCACGAATAAAACTGAGCCTAGTAGGGGTGAATCGGGCTAACCATGCTCTGGAGTCTATTGTCATTGTACCCTTGCGATCCCGCTTGAAGCTTGAAGTTTATCTCATGTGTTCGTACCACCACTGTACCCTTCCTCAACAGCTGTTGAAGGCTGGATTCTCTTTGTCACTGGAGTACATGAAGAAGCCACTGAAGAAGACATCCACGACAAATTCGCCGAATATGGGGAAATAAAAAATATCCACCTCAACTTGGACAGGCGGACAGGATACCTAAAGGTATTTTGGGTTGCACTTCTTTACTTCTTTTCCCCTTTAACTCTTAAATGGCATTGATGGCTCTCCTGTTTTTGCTGTGGTTTGCCAAGAATAAAATTGAAGTAAAATAACATTGGAGCCAGTTGCTTTTGACTCAGCACCCATAATCCCAGCTTCTCAGGATACTGAGATCTGAGGATCACAATTAGAAGGCAGCCCGTGCAAAAGTCTGAGAATCTTACCTCCAGGGAGCCACCAGAAAGCCTGAAGAGGATGTGTGCCTTACATGGTAGAGCACTAGCATTGAGCAGAACAGCTAAGAGAACACTCAGGCCCTGAGTACCCACACAGAAACAAAACAACACTGGAGATTGATATTGTTAGGCACAGAACAGAAATAAGTCAGACAAGTTGTACATGCAGTAGGAATATATGAGGTATGTTCATTGTGTAAAGTTTGTGTATTTTGCTGTTGAGTTTGGATTTGAGGAAAGAGGAAATGTGAAGTGATACCTGTCTTCATTTGTTCCAGGGGTATACTCTAGTTGAGTATGAAACATACAAAGAGGCCCAGGCTGCCATGGAGGGACTCAATGGCCAGGATTTGATGGGACAGCCAATCAGCGTGGACTGGTGTTTTGTTCGGGGTCCACCCAAGGGCAAGAGGAGGTACAGAAAAAGGGCATATGCTATCTTGTTAAAGGGAGCATGAGGAGAAAACAAAGACATTGATGAACTGCCCTTTCTCCTATTTGTCTTTAGAGGTGGCCGGAGACGGAGCAGGAGTCCAGACCGGAGACGACGCTGATAAGTTCTCTGTTCAAGTGGTCTTGAAGATTGCATTTGAACATTCAGCCTTGGAGATACAGGGCTGGGGCAGGACTGGGCTGTGTTTATATTTAATCTCTTACTCTTGATGCTTAGTGTTTCTTTTGGGTTATGAATAAATGTTGCATTTTTGTTTTCTATATGTAAGTTTTTCCTGTTCTAAAATAGCTGCTTTAAAGCACTATTCACAGTAAGGCATTATGGGTAATTGTGAAGATATTTCTTCTAGGGATGGAATTGTGTTTCTATTGGGTTATGATGAGAGATTTTGCTCAATATATATATATATATTTTGGGGGGGGGGGGTCCTGTCATGGGGCCTAAACTATGGGCCTGGGCGCTGTCCCTCAGCTCTTCAGCTCAAGGCTAGGGCTCTGCCACCTGAGCCACAGTGCCACTTCCAGCTTTTTTCTTTTTGCTTATGTGGTGCTGAGGAATGGAACCCAGGGCCTCAGGCATGCAAGGCAAGCGTTCTACCACTGAGCCACCTTCCCAGCCTCTCAGTATTTTTCTTGAAAGAATACAAGTGTAGCAGTGAGATATTCTTGGAGTATCAGAGAATAATTCTGTTCCTGTTTACTCTTATCAGGAGCTGATGGACTGCTATAAGAATGTCTCTTTTGCTTCTTCCTCTTTTGCTATCACATTTGCTTGTACTTCTAGCTGTGTGAGAGCTTGATCTGGTATTCTTCCGGACCCTCCTTCCTTGGAGGAGTCTATTCTTGGCTGGTGGCGTCCTTTTTGGCAGCCAAGGGTAAAGGCCCCATAGAGGAGAGGATCCAAAGGAGCATTTAGGAGGCCAAAGAGGAAAAGGATGTGGCTGAGGCTGGGAGGGACTTCACTTAGCATGGTGGGGGAGAACCAGTACCACAGACCCAGTAGGTAATAAGGTGTCCAGCAGAGGGTGAAGGTCAGCAAGACTAGTAGGGCCAGTCGCAGGGCCCGAAGACGAACACGAGGACGAGTGTCAAAGCTGCGGCGGAGGGCAAATTCACCATCGGGGGCTGGGAATTCAGAAAACACACTCATTCAAAACTGCTCAGCCTCTGCACTGAGAATCTTGAGAATTGATGAAGAGATAAAGATGAGATGGAGCCTCCCACTTTTCCCAAGGAGAAGAGGTCAGCAAACCCTCTTAACCTTTTCCCTGCCTGGGACTACATAACTCCTCTCCTACATCAGACATTTGACAGACATGTTGGGGAAAATGGTTTTGATTGAGAATGCTTTATCAGGTGAAGCCAGCACGTCTGCTTTAAGACTTGATGGTATTCTAGAGTAAAGAAGAATATTGACTGGCTGGGAAGGTGGCTTAGTGGTAGAGCACTTGCCTTGCATGCCTGAGGTCCTGGGTTTGATTCCTCAGCACCACATAAGCAAAAAGAAAAAAGCCGGGAGTGGTGCTGTGGCTCAAGTGGTAGAGCGCTAACCTTGCTGAAGAGCTGAGGGACAGTTCCCAGGCCCAGAGTTCAGGTCCCATGACCAGACCCAAAGGGAAAAAAAAAAGAATATTGATGATTTTTCCCCTTAATCCTTTTACGGCTTAGTTTCGCTAGAAACAGTTTACTTTTTTTTTTCTTTTCTGTTTTGGAGCTTGAAACTCAGAGCCTAGATGTTGTGCCTTAGTTTTTTTGCTAAAGGTTGATACTTTACCACTTGAACCACACCTCCAGTGTAGACTTTGTGCAGGTTAGTTAGAGATGAGACTCATAGACTTTCCCACGTGGGTTGGCTTCAAACTGCCAACCTCTAAACTCAGCCTTCTGAGTAGCTAGGATTACAGGCTGAGCCACCAGCACCTGACTAGAAAATAATGAGCACTTAGTCACTTTGGTTTAGTGCCATACTGTCATAGCAGATAAGTAAGTAATACTTTCAGGGTAAGGATTACAGTCTGGGAATTATTCTTACCATGACTCGCCTTTGTGGTCTGGGTACTGGACACACTGAGGACAATACGGCTATAGCAGACGGCCATGACAGTTAGTGGCAGCAGAAAGAGGCAGCAGAAGGTGAAGAGGTTATAGGTGGTCTCTTGCCATTGAGCCTTGAAACTCCCTTTGGTGACACACTGAGTGAAAGGGACTGGGCCAGCTCGCTGGACAGTGTGGAACAGGAACAGCTGGAGTGGAGTTGAGCTCTATTAGTACTACTTCCTATAGCATTCAAAACTATCCACCTGTGTTACAGGATCTCCCAGTTACCCCCTAACACCATGCAGAGCAGTGCAATGAAGTTTGTTGTACCTCAAATACTTTTTGTCCTGGGACTTGAACTCTGAGCCCGGATACTGTCTTTGAACTCTTAAGCTCAAGGCAAGCACTCTACCACTAGAGCCACAGTGCCACTTCCGGTTTTCTGGTGTTTTATTGGAGATAAGAATCTCAAGGAACGCTGGCTTTGAACCATGATCCTCAGATCTGAGCCTCCTGAATAGCTAGGATTATAGGCTTGAGGCACTGATGCCTAGCCCTGAGCCTCTTTGTGCTCAACCACTTGAGCCAAAGTACCACTTCCTGCTTGGCTTCTCAAATACTATTCTAATATTGCACTTTGTAACATAGTACCTACAACTTTGCCTATATTATTGTCTTAAATAGTTTTTCTGGTTATATCTTGTAAAATAAAAAAGCAAAAAAAAAAAAAATCAGCCAAAGACAAGTTTTTGTTGACTAGGCTGAGGAATAATTTTTGTTGTTGTTGTGAGGCTTGAACTCAGGGCCTGGGCACTGTCCCTGGCTCTTGCAAGACTAGCACTCATCACTTTGGACCACAGCACTGCTTCTGGTTTGTGAATGGTTAATTGGAGGTAATATTACAGGCATGAGCCACCCATGCTGGGTTCAGGAATAGTTTTTTTTGTTTCTTTTTTAGCCCCATGTCTGGACATACTTGAAAATGTGAGAAGTGTAAAAATAGTTCAAATTCTTGGACTTAAGAGTTCGGTCATATCCTTGCATCTGCCTCTCATTTCTATGTAACTTACATATAGTAGAAGCGTTTTTAACCATGGATTGCCTGGAACGAGTCTACAAAAGTCAGTAATTTTTTTTTTTTTTTTGGTGTTGGTCCTGGGGTTTGAATGCAGGGCCTGGGCATTGTCCCTGAGCTTTTTTCTCCTTTTTTTTTTTTTTTTTTTTTTTTAAATTTTATTTTATTTTATTTGAGAACATACTGTACAGAGGGGTTACAATTACATGGGCAGGATAATGCATACATTTCTTACCAAGCATTGCAGCCTCCTCCTTTGTTTACCCTTCACCTCCCTTCCCAGCCTCCCCCCCTGAGCTTTTTTCTCAAGATTAGCTCCCTACTATTTGAGCTACAGCTGCACTTCTGGCTTTTTTGGTCGTTAATTGGAGATGACAGTCTCACAGAAGCCTGCCACCGGTAGATCATGCCTGTAATCATAGCTACTCAGGAGGTTGAGATCTAAGGGTTGCAGTTTGAAGCTAACCTGGACAGGAAAGTCCATGAGACTCATATCACTTGAAAATTGGAAGTGGACCTGTGTCTCAAAGTTGTAGAGTGCTAACCTTGAGCCAAAAAAAGCTCAGGGACAGCCAGGCCTTAAGCTGAAACCTCATGACCGACAAAAATTAAAAAAAGATACATATGGGCTTTCTTGCCTAGACTGGCTTTGAACCGTAAACCTTAAATCTCAGCCTCCTGAAAGATTACAGGTATGATTCCCCCAATTCCTGGCTAAAAGTAAGTAATATCTAATGAATACCTATTACTTCTTTGTCATGCTCTTAAAAAAATCACTATAAATTTTGTATTAATAGCTAATCATTTCATCTTTTTTTTTTTTTTTTTTTTTTTGGTCAGTCGTGGGGCTTGAACTCGGCCTGGGCGCTGTCCCTCAGATCTTCAGCTCAAGGTTAGCTCTCTACCACTTGAGCCACAGCACCACTTCTGGCCTTTTCTGCTTATGTGGTGCTGAGGAATCGAACCCAGGGCTTCATGCATACAAGGCAAGCACTCTACCACTGAGAAACCTTCCCAACCCCAATCATTTCAGATTCATGACATGCTACAACACATGGGCAAGGCAGAGGCTATCTGAAAGACACAATTTGGAACCCAAAAATATATCAGCTTTTGCATATACATGTCAAGATCAGTATGCCATTGAAGCATTGCAATTATTAGACTGCAGTTATTGCCAGCTGTAAGAAAAATATTTCCTATTTCATCATCTTACGCCTCATAGGTTTCAAGTGACTCAGTGAAAGTCACAAGCTTGTGGTAGAGCCAAGTTTAACAGTCAAACAATGCAACAAAGATACTCAATTCCCAGTCCCTATCTAAGGTTTGTTTCATATAAACAGACTAAACAATTCCAGTTTCACTGTGGCAATAAGGTCCTAAGTGTGGGATGGTAGAGGTCCTGTTTGACATTGTAGGAAGTTTTTTTGTTTTTTGTTTTTGGCTGGTCGTGGGGCCTGAACTCTGGGCCTGGGTGCTGTGCTTCAGCTCTTTAGCTCAAGGCTAGCACTCTACCACTTGAGCCACAGCACCACTTCGTTTTTATCTGCATTTGTGGTGCTGAGGAATCGAACCCAGGGCCTCATGCATGCAAGGCAAGCCCTCTAGCACTGAGCCACCTTCCCAGCCCCAGAAGTAAATTTTTTTTTTTGTCCTTAGTACTTATCTCTTTTTTTGGCAGCTAATTATTTTAGGTTTTGAGGCTCACATCTTAAATCAACTAATATTCTGAAGACTGAAATTGCATGCCCTTCTTGGTTTCCTTGCAAACATAATCTTAATTCTGCAGTCTCAAGTGAAGGTAGTGGTTTTCATTTGGAAGAAAATTCTCCATATTTAACTTTTTCTAGACTTTGAGCTCCTTTTCAGAACAGATTTGGTTAACCAGAAACCAAGTTCAGATGTCTTTGTGTTTCTTTTTTTCTTTTCTTTTTTTCTGGTTGGTTGGTTGTGGGGCTTGAACTCTGGGCCTGGGTTCTGTCCCTGAACTCCTTAGCTCTAAGTTAGTGATATTATCACTTGAATCTCACCTACTTTCCTGCTTGGGCTGGCTTAGAACCTTGATCCTCAGATCTTAGCCTCTTGGGTAGTTAGGATTACAGGTATGAGTCACTTGCCCCAGCTATGTTCCTAATTTTTAATACCCATTCTTCAGTAAATCTAGCATAGAAAGGAAAAACCAGTAACACCACATCACTATTCATCCCTTACCTTAGTGTGTTCCACTGCCCTCAGGATAAAGTAAAACCTTAGTATTTCTTCTTTCCTCTCCTTCCTGATTATTCACTCATATCAAGTCCTTAGTTTTAGCAGCAACCTCTTTGAGATCCTTTACCTTCCATCCTCCTAGCCTTTCTCCTGCTTTAACTGGTTGTAAGAATTTATCGTTTTCTGTCTTTCAAGTTTTTTTTTTTTTGGGGGGGGGGGGGGAGTCCAGTTGTGGGGCTTGAACTCTGGGCCTGGGTGATGTCCCTCAGTTCTTCAGCTCCACGCTAGCATTCTATCACTTGAAAACTGTAGAACCACTTCCTGTTTTCTGGTGGTTTATCGGAGATAAGAATCTCACCGACTTTCCTGCCCCTCCTGCCTTTGAACTGTGATTCTCAAATCTCAGCCTCCTGAGTAGCTAGGATTACAAGTGTGACCCACTGGTGCCTGTCTGGTTTTTTGTTTGTTTTTTAATCATTTTTAGAAAGCCTTCCCTGACCTGAAGAATGGGTCAGAGATTCTGTTGATTTTGAACTCCTGAAGAGTAGAGTTGTTCTTGAACTCTTTACCTTTAGCATAACACTTTTTGTGATAAGGGGGCCTGAACTCAGAGCCTCTTGCTCTTGATTAATTTTTTTTGCTCTAGTGCTCATTAGCCGCGCCTCCATGTCCTGCTTTTTGTTCAGTAGTTGAAGAGTCTCACAAACTTTCCCACCCTGCTTAGTTTTAAGCCAGGGTCCTCACACTGGGCTCCTCAAATCTCAGCCTCCTGTGTAGCTATGTATAACTAGGATAACAGATGTGAGCCACCAGAGCCTAGAGATGACACACTTCATGTTTTGTACCACAAGGTATTAATCAAAGACGGTGACTTCACTCCTTCCTGCCCCAAAGGTTTTCTTTTTTCATTACCTGGGATTGAACCCAGAGCCTTGTGACTGCTAAGGAAGAACTCTACCACTGAGCTACACCCCCAACTCCTTATCCAGAGGTTTTCTGCATCATTATCAGAACGACTTAGTATGGGATGTTATGGGGAATTGGAAGCCAAACACTAGATCTAAAGAAGAGGGACAGATAATATAAGAGAACTGCTAGAGCCGGGTGCCGGTGGCTCACGCCTGTAATCCTAGCTACTAAGGAGGGTGAGATCGAGGATCACGGTTCAAAGCCAGCCCAGGCAGGAAAGTCTGTGAAACTCTTATCTCCTATAAACCACTCGAAAACCAGAAGTGGCGCTGTGGCTCAAGCGGTAGAGCACTCACCCAGGCCCAGAGTTCAAGCCCCACGACCAACCAAAAAAAGAAAAAAGAACTGCTACAAAGGATAGCAACCCTCAAATAACATGCAAATAATCTTAAAAGGACTACAAGCTAATGGCGTGTACATATGCACCTTAGCAATCCAAGTTCATATGGTGAAACCAAATTCCAAATTACTCACCTGGGGCACGGCCAGCAGGAAACTAAGTCCCCAAGCTGCCCCCAGAAGCTTCCTTCCACCAGAGCGGGGTCCCAGCGGGTTGAGTACTGCCGCCTGGCGGTCAAGCCCGATAACTACGGGCAAGAAAGCGGCGGCGTACATGGCCATTAGTTTTAGGAACATGAGTGTCCGACAGGCAATGTCCCCTGCCAACCACTGGACTGTAATGTTCCAGGTAGCATCTAGAGGCATTACCACGAAAGTGACTAGTAGGTCGGCAGCCGCTAAATGGGCGAAGAGTCGCCGGACCGGGGAGGGACGGGTCTGGCTGGGTCGCGGCCGGGTCACTGACCACAGCACGGCCAGGTTTCCTCCAGCCGAGGAAACAAACAGCACAATGGTCGCTCCCACTCGGACCTTGGCTGCGGCCGAGAAGGTGGGTAACTCTGAACCCTCCACCTCTACTCCTGATCCCGCCCAGACCTCCTGCCCTGCTGCTGACCCCCAGTCGGTGCCGTTGCCTGCAGACATGGAGGCCTGGAAGGGAGGAGGAGGAGAGGAGGGAGTGTGGATACGGAGCGGTTAACCCGGGCCGCTGATTCTTCGCTCTCCTTTTCAGGATCAGAAGGTGGTGATGGCGAATTGCGTCCCCTACAGTCTCTTGTCTCTCCATCTATGCTAAGGGAGGTCACCCCACAGAAATTAGGTGCTAATCATACCCGCTTCTCCCTTGATTTAGCCGGGACTTTGAACTTCTATTGCCTAAGATATCTTTGCAGCTAGAGCTTTGGATCGCGTCGGGGTGTGTGTGTGTGTGAGTGTGTGTGTGTGTGTGTGTGTGTGTGTGTGTGTGTGTGGCGGGGGTAGGGGTGGTGGCGGATGGTGGACCCTCTGCTGGCCCGCAGGGTCGGAAGATCTCTGCGGATCTTTAGCCCCGCCCTCAGGCCCCGCCCACCGCCCTTGCCCAGTAGGCCCGCTCCTCACAGGCCCCGCCCTGCAGGTCCCGCGGAGGCTCTCGTCATCCGGCCACGCCCCGCTCCGGCCCCGCCCCTGGATATTTAAAGTGTTCCCTGGGAGGCGTGCTACCCGGCCGGAGTGCTCTTTCGAGACCGCACGCACAGGAACACGCACGTGTAGAGGTAAGGACGAGCGCTTCGCGTCCTGAAATGCTGGCTCGAGGGCGGGCGCCGCTAGCTTTCCTTCCCGACGACGTTTGTCCCTCGCGGAGCGCCGTCGATCGCAGGGGGTGGGGCGGGGGCGGGGCCGGGGCGGGACTCGGCGACGCCGAGGAGCCGGGGTCGCCGCTGTCATGGACGCCTGGGTCCGCTTCGGCGCTCAGAGCCAGGCCCGGGAACGGCTGTGTAGGTGCGGCCGACAGAGGAATGGAGGGAGGGTGGGCTGAGGAAGGTTCTGATGAAGAGAGATTCCATCCCGGGCTACGGGTGTCCCAAAGGGTCAACTCGGGCTACGGGGGCCCAGACGGACCCCGAGGCACATATCGGAGCCGGTCGAGAGGTGGTGGATTCTTTTCTGCTCCCGGGAAAGATGGGGAAACTGAGGCATGAGTGGGGGTGGGGGCAGCGGGGAGGTCACTCCGTCCACATAAGACCCAACAGTGTCCTCGCCGGCGGGCTGCAGTGAGGAGCCCCGGGGGCCCGACTTCGCTCAGTCTCTGCCCCGCGCGCTGCGCCCGGCGGTGGGGAGCAGCTCCGCACCGTCCTCCCCTCCACCCCCGGCCCATCTCCATTCAGTCCGAGGGCCTCGCAGCCTCTTGGTCCACCTGTTCCGAGGAATGGCCCACCCTCCCCTCCCCCCCCCCCCCCCCCCCCCCCCCGTGTGTCATTACTGATGTGCTTGTGTTGCACTCCCACTGCCTCCTGACCTCCGGCCTCATCCGTGCCATAGCTTTAGTTTCGGAATCCCCTTCTAGGCCCCTTTACGCAAGCATCTTTCCCTGGCCTGGAGGAGAAGCAGTGAGATATAGGCCTAAAAAGGAGGAAAGGAGAAGTCTGTCCTCATTTGAAGGATAGTGTGCGTGTGCGTGCCAGTTAACTCAGGGCCTCCACTTCCAGCTTTTTGCTGATTAATTGGAGATAAGAAACTGGCTCACAGGCTTTGCAGTGCCAGCTAGCTTCAAACCTCAGTCCTCAGATCTCAGCCTCCTGAGTAGCTAGCCAGGATTACAGGTGTGAGGGGGAGGGTAGGAGGGTCTAACTTACTTTGTCCTCTCCTCCAGGGCTGCCCAGTATGCTTGCTCACTTCTTGGCCATGCATTGCAGAGACACGGGGCCAGTCCTGAGTTACAGAAACAGATCAGACAACTGGAGAGCCATTTGAGCCTTGGAAGAAAGCGTAAGTAATTGCAACTTTCCAACTATCCCAACTTTTCCTCCATCCCAAACTATTTGCCCATTTTACCCTCTTCCTAATTCCTGACCTCCCCTTTTCTCCCCCCATTTCTTCATCACTTGTTTTTTTTAATGCCTCCTGTTGAAAGAAAGTAAAGGTGCAAGTGTGGAGATGTGACAATGAACAACTTCCACCCCAATAGATATAAGCCAAATAAGGGGAAAAAATAAATAAGAAGCCTGGTGCCAGTAACTCACACTGTTGGTCCTCCCATTAACCAACAAAATGCATAAAGTGAAAGTGTGGCTCAAGTGGTAGAGTTCCAGCTTGGAGTGGAAAAAGTCAAACAAGAGCATAAGGCCCTGATTTCAAGTCCCAGTTCCAACACACACACACACACACACAAAAAGAACAGGTATAAGGAAGTAATGAGCGGGGCGCCGTGGCTCACACCTGTAATCCTAGCTACTCTTGAGGCTGAGATCTGAGGGTCCAATAAACCACCAGAAAACTGGAAGTGGTGTTGTGGCTCAAGGGGTAGAGCCACAACCCATAACCTGCCTTGAGCTGAAGAGCTGAGGGACAGTGCCCAGGCCCAGAGTTCAAGACCCATGACTGACCAAAAAAAGGAAGTAAATTGGGGTTAAGACTAATTAAAATCTGGGCTGGGAAGGTAGCTCAGTAGTAGAGTGCTTGTCTTGCATGCATGTGTCCCTAGGTTCTATTCCTCAGCACCACATAAGCAGAAAAAGCTGGAAGTGGCGCTGTAGCTCAAGTGGTAGAGCGCTAGCCTTGAGCTGAAGAGCTGAGGGACAGTGCCCAGGCCGAGTTCAGGCCCCAAGACCAAAAAAAAAAAAAAAAAAAAAAAACTAATTAAAATCTGAATAAAAAGTGAATTTTTTTGTGTCAGTTAGCTTTTTTTCTCAAGGCTGGTGCTCTACCACTTGATCCATACCGCTAGATGTTTGCTGGTTAATTGAAGATAAGTATCTTTTTTTGTGGGTCCTGGGGCTTGAACTCAGGGCCTGGGCACTGTGCTTGAGCTCTTGTGCTCTTGTGGAGCTTCAGCTCCACTTCTGGTTTTCTGGTGGTTAATTGGAGATAAGAGTCATGGACTTTTCTGCCTGTGTTATCTTCAAACTGGGATCCTCAGATCTCAGACCTCCTGAGTAGCTAGGATCACAAGTGTGAACTACCCAGCAAAGAAGATAAATGTCCTATGGACTTTCCTGTCTAGGTTGGTTCTGAACCTCAGTCCTCAAATTTCAGCCTCTTGCGTATCTAAGGCCACTGGTGCCTGGCAAAAGAATAAGTTTTTTTTTTTTTTTTTCTCAGCTCTATTTTTTGTAATGACTAAAATTGTTACCATCACTTATTCAACTTTCACTCTGCTGTTATCTCCCTTTTTTGTATGTCTTACTCTCTGTCACTCTACCTCACATCCTTGCTTTCTTTGATAACCTCCCAGTTCTGCGTCTGGGTAACTCAGCGGATGCCCTTGAATCGGCCAAAAGAGCTGTGCACCTATCAGATGTTGTCCTGAGATTCTGCATCACCGTTAGTCACCTCAATCGAGCCTTATACTTTGCCTGTGACAATGTCCTGTGGGCTGGAAAGTCTGGACTGGCTCCCGGTGTGGATCAGGAGAAGTGGGCCCAGCGGTCATTCAGGTTTGTTATTCTTTTATCCTATAAAGACCTTTTGGCCACTTTCACGCTGCATAATTTTTCATAAGAGAAAGATCGCTCAGGGCCTTTCCAAATATACAGTCAACTTCATATCTATTGGTTTCACATCTGTGGATTCAGCCAACTGTAGACTTAAAATATTAGGAAAATAAATATGTCTGTTTTGAACACGTATAAACTTTTTTTTTTCTTTCTTCTTTGTGTCAGTACTGGGACTTGAACAAAGAGTCTGGGCGCTGTCCCTTAGCTTTTGCATCAGGCTGGTGTTCTACCATTGGAGCCACAGCTCTACTTCTGGCTCTTTGGTGGTTGATTGGAGATAAAAATCTCATGGACTTTCCTGCCTGGGCTGACTTGGAACCACAATCCTCAGATCTCAACCTCCTGAGTAGCTAGGATTACAGGTGTAAGCCACTAGTGCCCAGCCTCTCTCTCTGCTTTTTTGAACCCTGCCAGCATCTACCACTTGAGCCATGCCTCCAGTTTCAGCTTTCATTGGTTAGTGGAAGATTAGAATCTCTTAGATATGTCTGCCTGATCTGACATTGAACTGAAATGCTCAGAAAATCAAGGATTATAGGTGTGAGCCACCAGTGTCCAACTTTTTTTTTCTTTTTTTTTTTTTTAGAGATGGGATCTTACTATGTACTCTGGGTTTAAATGATCTTCCTACCTTAACTTTGAAGTAGCTGGGACTCCATAGATATGTGCCACTGACATTGTGTTCATTTCTTCCAAAAACATTTATGAGCCAGAGAATAAAGCAAATAGCCAAAAAGATATGACACCTACTTCCATGAAGTTTATTGTCTAGTAGGGAAATCCAGTATTACACCGAGAGCTGGTGGAGCCCTGAGTTCCAGTCCCTGTACCTGCACAGGAAAAAGTGTACAAGGCAGTGTGATTAACTGTGGTCACCCTGGTGTATGTTAGGTTGTCAGAACTTGTTTATCTATATAACTAAAACTTTGTACTGTTTGACATCTTCCTTTTTCTCCCACCCCTGGCAAACACCACCAATCTATTTTGTGCCTTAAGAGTTAAGACTTGCTCAAAGCCAGTGCCAGTGCCAGTGCCGGCACGAAAGTCCATGAAAATCTTATCTCCAATAAGCCACTCAGAAAACCAGAAGTGGAGCTGTGGCTCAAGTGGTAGAGCACTAGCCTTGAGCTGAAGAACTCAGGGACAGTGCCCAGGCCCAGAGTTCAAGCCCCATGACTGACAAAAAAAAAGAGTTAAGACTCTTAGATTCCACATATAAGTGAAATCGTGAGATATTTTTCTTTCTGTGTCTGGTTCATTTTACTTGTCATAATCTTCTCAAGGGAGGATGTACCTCATAGGAGGTTATAGCATTCACTTGGGTTTTTTTTTGTTTTGTTTTGTTTTCTACATGGGATCAAACCCAGGGCATTGTACTTGCTAGGCAAGTGCTTTGCCATTGAGCTACATCTCAGCCATCTCCCATCTCTTTGCCATTTTTTGGTTTTTTTTTTTGGTTGGTCGTGTGAGTTGAACTCTGGGCCCTCAGCTCTTCAGCTTAAGGCAATTGTTCTACCACTTGAGCCACAGTGCCACTTCTGGCTTTCTGGTGGTTAATTGGAGATAAGAGTTTCACAGACTCCCCCCTCCCCCCTTTCAATCGCTATCTTCAGATCTCAGCCTCCTGAGTAGCTAGGATTACAGGCATGAGCCACCAGTCCTTTGCCTTTTTTTTGAGGGGGACAGGTAGTGGGTGCTGAACTTGGCCTGGGTACTGTCCCTGAGCTTTCTTGTTCAAAGCCAGTGTTCTACTCCTTGAGCCACACCTCAACTTCTGGCTTTTTTGCTGGCTAATTGAATATAAGAGTCTCACAGGATTTATCTGCCTGGGCTGGCTTCAAATGGTAATCTTCAGATCTCAGCCTCCTGAGTAGCTAGGACTATAGGTGTGAATGACTGGCACCCAACTATGAAGAGAAGATATTTGAGTGTTGTGTGGCTGTGTTTAGAATCTGTCCACGCCCGTTCTAATCTTCCTGTGTATCTCAGGTACTACCTCTTCTCCCTCATCATGAATTTGAGCCGTGATGCTTACGAGATACGTTTACTGATGGAACAAGAGTCTTCAGCTTGCAGCAGGCGGCTGAAGAGTTCTGGAGGTGGAGTCCCTGGAGGAAATGAAACTGGGGGGCCTGGGGGACTAGGGACTCCAGGAGGAGGCCTACCCCAGCTGGCGCTGAAGCTGCGGCTGCGAGTCCTGCTCTTGGCTCGGGTTCTTCAAGGCCATCCGCCTCTTCTGCTGGATGTAGTCAGAAACGCCTGTGATCTCTTCATTCCGCTGGACAAGCTCGGGCTCTGGCGTTGTGGCCCTGGGATTGTGGGGCTCTGTGGCTTCATATCCTCCATCCTGTCTATCCTCACTCTGGTCTACCCCTGGCTACGACTCAAGCCCTGACAGCCTGGCGGAGAATAAGGAGGGGATTTGTGAGATGGAATCTTAGACCATCCCTTGTGGACTATCTGAATTCTCATTCTAATTCTTTTCCTTGGTTCAAATGAAAAATCCAGAGGTTTAGGGGGTGGAGGGAAGACTGTTAGGAAAACATGAGGTCATGACAGATGGCTTGTCAATAGAGTCTGCTATCCAGATGTGCTAAGTCTTTGCTCTTTCCTCTTTCATGGTATGAGTCTGACTTTATCTGTCTTGTCTATGTCAAACTCTGTCTCTATGTCTTTCTTCCCTTTTCAGACTGCTGTACAAGAATTTCAACAATTAGTTTTTGTTGTTGTTCTTGTTAGTTTTTAAAAATTTCTGCCAGTTCTCGGGCTTGAATTCTGGGCTTGGGCACTGTCCCTGAGCTCCTTTTGCTCAAGGCTAGCACTCTACCTACTTGAGCCACCGTACCACTTTCAGCTTTTTCCCACTTTCAGCTTTTTCCGTGATTAATTGGAAATGAAAGTCTCACAGATTTTCCTGCCCTGGCTAGCATCAAACCTAGATCCTCAGATCTTAGCCTGCTGAATAGATAGGATTACAGGCATGAGCCACCAATGCCCAACAACAGTTACTTTTTGATAGGGGACATTATAAGGTTTGTGTTATAAAATTATAACTACCTTCTTGCTATTTTCTTTTTACACTTAGAGTTGCCACGAGGTTGTTTTATTTTTTTTTCTCCTTCAATCTCCAAATCATAATTTTTTACAAAATCATAATTTTTACGACTTTTGTCATGTCCCAGTGGTCTCCTTCCACATCTCTCTGTACCCCAGGTTGTTTGATGTTTCTTCTTCCTCCCTCAGGTCTACACCATGATTTAGCCCTTTTCCTTCCCTGTACCCATACTTTCAGATTTCTTCTTATACTTTAATCTCAGAATTTTGTTTCCTATCCTTCTTTACCTATCCAGATTGATGCTGTGCCTAGCATCTTGCTGTAATACTGTATAATGACTCTGTGTGAATAGGTTTGGTTCATATCCACAATGGAGAACAAACCTTTCAAGTCAGCAAATTAAAGATGTTTACTCATTTTCTCTCTCCCTCTCCCTCTCCTTCTCCCTCTCCCTCTCCCTGTCCCTTCCCTTCCCTCCTTCCCTCCCTCCCTCCCTCCCTCCCTCCTTCCCTCCCTCCCTTCCTTCCTTCCTTCCTTCCTTCCTTCCTTCTCTCCCTCCCCCCTCTTACTTTTTCCCCTCACACAGAGGTTCACTGTGTTGCCCAGGTTGGCTATAAACTTGCAATCTTCCTGCCTCAACTTTCTGAGTAGATAGGATTACAGGTATGTGCCACTGTACTCAACTGTTCATTGGCATTTGATGTGGTGTCCCTTTTGTTCTGGTCATTTGACAACCCCTATTCCTGTTATTATACTTTGGGTTTTCCATGGTATTGGCCACACATTTTCACATACAGTGTGCAGCGGGGAAATTCTACATGACAGACATGCTGAAAGCTAGGAAGATCTATGGTTCCCACAGCTGAGATGTTGATGCTCAGTGCCAGTGGCTTTGACTTGTAACCCTACCTAGTCAGGAGGTTGAGATCTGAGGATTGCAAAACACAGCTCATGCTCATTCATAGATATGTGAACTTGTTCCTCCAAACACCACAGGGCTGCACATGCTGGGAGCCATGAACTGCATGCAGTGCCCTGGGCTGCCAAGGTCTGGTTTGGGAATTGTGTCTTCAAACACTGTGATTCTTCTGGGTAGGGGGGAAATTATGCCACTGCTATCAGCTTTTATTTTGTATACCTAAAGTAGAGATAAATAAGAAAGTGAAAAGAATCTTGTCTCTCACTTCCAAATTTGAGGAAACCATTATGGACCTGTGGAAAAGAAAAAGAAGCAACAAAGATGGTGAGAACTGTTCTCAAGCCAGGCACCAGTGGCTCACGCCTAGAATCCTAGTTACTCAGGAGGCTGAGATCCGAGGAATGTGGTCTGAAGCCAGCCTGTGCAGGAAAGTCTGTGAGAATCTCATCTTCAATAAACTACTTTTAAAAAAAGTCAGAAGTGGAGCTGTGGCTCAAGAGGTAGAGCACTAGCCTTGAGCAAAAGAAGCTCAGGGACAGTGCACAGGCCCCCTGAGTTCACCCTCAGTACTGACTTTTAAAAAAAAGAAAAAGAAAAAAAAAGTGTTCTTTAGACACTGAAATGAGGCCTCCAGGGGGCAGCACAAAGGCAGAGAACTAGACAGAGCCCTCAGCCTTCCAGGCCCTGGGCTGGGGCTCCCCACAGTTTCCCGCCACCCCTCCTCCCATTCCTTCCAACTTTATTTTTAGCTGCCAGTGGGAGGGGGCAGGATAGGAGGGAAAGTAAAGAAAACAGAGAGGGAGAGGGACGCGGGCACAGAGGACTTCTCACGCAGGGCACAAGGACCCAGCATGGAGCTCACCCTCTTCCTTCACCTGTTCTTACCCCTGATGCTACTGACAGGTGAGGGAACGCAGTATCTTCGATTCTGTGGGAACGGAGAGGACATGGATTGTTTGGAATGGGGATCCCTGGGGAGTTAATATTCTTTGGGAGATAAGGTAGGAGGTTAATACTGATTGTGCAGGGGCTGGGAAGGTGGCTCAGTGGTAGAGCACTTGCCTTGCATGTATGAGGCCCTGGGTTCGATTCCTCAGCACCACATAAGCAGAAAAAAAAAGGCAGAAGTGGTGCTGTGTCTCAAGTGGTAGAAGAGCTGAGAGACAGCGCCCAAGCCCAGAGTTCAGGCCCACAACTGGACCAAAAAAAATAAATACTGATTGTACATTCCGTACCTTTGTGTATATTCCTGTGTCCCTACATGAGTCTCAGGAGCCTTGCATAAGATTTGTACCTAACAGCTGAGCAAGGTGGCTCAGCTGTCATCCTAGCTACTCAGGAGGCTGAGATCTGAAGATCCAGGTTCAAAGCCAGCTCGGGCAGGAAAGTCCCTGAGACTCTTCTCTCCAGTTAATCAGCAAAGAAGCTGTAAGCAGAAGGCATAGCTCAAGAGGTAGAGTGCCAGCCTTGAAAAGCAAAGGGATAGCACCTGAGTCCTGAGTTCAAGCCCTGGTACCCCACAAAGGCAAATTTGTACCTGATTCTCTAAAACCTTTGTCTTAAGTCCTATGGGAATGGGGAAGCAGAAGAGAAATGCAAGTGGCAAGTCTGATTCCTGCTCTCTCTCCCTCCCCTCGGTTATGCTTGGGGCGGAAGGCGTAACTGCCTCGCTATGTGGTCAGACCTGGTTCAGCTAACCCATGCGCTGTGGTTCCCTGTCGTACCACCCTGCCGGTCTCCTGAATGCAAAAAGGCTTGCATAGAAAATACCTTTTTGAAAGTGAGCATGTTTTGAGTTAGCGCCATAGCTCTTGTTATTTTATTGGTGGGATAAACTTGCTGACTGGCTTGCAAATAAAAAGCAAGACATAATTGAGAAGAGAACCTAGGGAGGAATGAGGCGTGGAATTTTTCCTTGTCCAGTGCCCTATAATCTTTGTTTCCTAAAATAACAGCTCTGATTTTAAGGGAATTGGGGTCAAAAGAGAAGAATCAGCCAGGACATAATTGCGGTGGTAGGGGTCTTTAAAGTGGGCAGAGTTGCAGGGAACTGTGGGAGGTAGGTAAGGGGCAATTTGGTGGGTGGAATTAAAAAGGAAGGGGATTGTGAGGAGCGTGGAGGGGTGATGAGCCTCTGGACTGGGCTGATGGCGAACTGTGTATGGGCAGTGCATGGCCCTGCCCAGTTAATTACCATTGAGGTTTCCAGGGCTGGAAGCAACCAGGGGCCTAGACATCGGGAGCAAGTGCCAGACTGACAATGCTACTAAAGACAAGAGACAGATGGAGAGCCCCCTTGTTCTGTCTTCTTATTATGTCTCTATGGTCCTGGGTTTGGGAGAAAAAAAAAATGGAAACCATGGTATTCAGGGGCTGGAGGAAGGTTTTCTTGGACCCTCACAATTTGAAGAGGATATGTAGGAGGACTAATGGGGAAAAGAGTAACTTGACCTTTCCAGACATGTCTGTGAATGAGATTTCAGGAGAGGGAATGAAAATACAGCTGTGCATCAGTGTGGCCAAGGGCCACAGACCCACACAGAGGCAGGATTCTTCCATGTCAGGCTCTGAGTATATGACAGAGACTGGAGAGTTCAGAAGAAATAGGCACACATTAAGAGTCGGATATTCCCAAGCTGGGTGCTGTGGCTCATGCCTGTAATCCTGAATACTCAAGAGGCTGACATCTGAAGATCACAGTTACAAGTCAGCCTGCACAGAAAAGACCATGAGACTTTGATTAACCAACAAAAAGCCAGAAGTAAGGGTTTAGCTCAAGAGGTAGAGTGCCAGCCTGGAGCACAAAAAAGCAAAGTGAGGGGCTGGGAAGGTGGCTCAGTGGTAGAGTGTTTGCCTTGCATGCCTGACGCCCTGGGTTTGATTCCTCAGCACCACATAACCAAAAAGAAAAAAGCCGGAAGTGGCGCTGTGGCTCAAGTGGTAGGGCACTAGTCTTGAGCTGAAGAGCTGAGGGACAGCGCCCAGGCCCAGAGTTCAGGCCCCACGACCGGACCAAAAAAAAAAAAAAGCGAAGTGAGAGCACAAGGTTCTGAGTTCAAGCCCCAGTATGACATGTGTACTCGCACGTGCATGTGTGCCCCCCACACACAGATATTTCCAAACCAGGCTGAGGTTCTAGCAATCTGACAAGCAGAGACAGGAAGATCCTGAGTTTGAGCCCAGCCAAGACTATATAGTAAGACTCTATATCAAAACCAAAATACAAACAAGCTGGGTGTCAGTGGCTCACATCTGTTGTAATCCTAGCTAGTCAGGAAGTTGAGATCTAAGGATCAAGGTTCAAAGGCATGAAAGTCTGTCACACTGTTATTTACAATTAACCACCAAAAAGCTGGAAGTGGAGGTGTGGCTCAAGTGGCAGAGTGTCAGCCTTGAGCAAAAAACCTAAATGAGATGGAGAGGTCCTGAGTTCAAGCCCCTATATGGACACACACACACACACACACACACACACACACACACACATACACACACACACAAAAGCATACCTCAAGTGGTAAAGCACTTGCCTAACCTGCCAAAGGCCTTGGGTACAAGAAAACAAAACAAACTCCAGACATTTCCACATGTCTTCTCTATGGCCTATGTCTGGTCCTTCCCTGACCAGCCATGCTAACTTTATTATCTTTTTTTTTTTTTTTTGGGTCCGGTCGTTGGGCCTGAACTCTGGGCCTGGGCACTGTCCCTCAGCTCTTCAGCTCAAGGCTAGCACTCTACCGCTTGAACCACAGCACCACTTCCGGCTTTTTTATTTTCTGCTTATGTGGTGCTGAGGAATCGAACCCAGGGCCTCATGCATGCAAGGCAAGCGCTCTACCACTGAGCCACCTTCCCAGCCCTAACCTTATTATCTTGGCCCAACAGCTCTCTGCACATCGTTTAACCTGGATGTGTATCACCCACGTCTGTTCACCGGGCCACCAGAAGCCGAATTTGGATACAGTGTCTTACAACATGTTGGAGGTGGACAGCGATGGTGAGGAAGAAACCAGAAGGCCATGGGATTGGGACATAGCTGAACAAGAGGAGGCAAGATAGATAGCTCTGTAGTCAGGTCCAGTGGCTCACGCCCATAATCCTAGTTTCTCAAGAGGCTGAGATCTGAGGACTGCAGTTCAAAGCAGTTAACAAAAACAGGGCTGGGAATGTGGCTTAGTGGTAGAGTGCTTGCCTAGCATGCATGAAGCCCTGGGTTCAATTCCTCCCTACCACACAAACTGAAATAGCCAGAAGTGGGACTGTGGCTTAAGTGGTAGAATGCTAGCCTTGAGCACAGAAAGGCTCAGGGACAGTACCCAGGCCTTGAAGTTCAAGCCCAGGACTGGCAAAAAAAAAAAAAGAATTGTGATGTTATGAGTTCTATCCCCAGTACCAAAACAGGAAAAAAAAAAAAGACAATTTAAAAAGAACCTAAAAAGCCGGGCACCAGTGGCTCATGCCTAGAATCCTAGCTACTCAGGAGGCTGAGATCTGAGGATCATGGTTCAAAGCCAGCCCAGGCAAGAAACTCCATGAGACTCTTATCTCCAATAAACCACTCAGAAAACTGGAAGTGGTGCTGTGACTCAAGTGGTAGAGCACTGGACTTGAGCTGAAGAGCTGAGGGACAGCACTCAGGCCCAGAGTTCAAACCCCATGACTGACAAAAACAAACAAACAAAAAAACTAAAGCTGGGCACTGGTGGCTCACACCTATAATCTTAGCTACTCAGGAGACTGAGATCTGAGGATGGTGGTTTCAAGCCAGAACAGACAGGAAAGTCCATGAGACTCTTATCTCCAAACCACCAGAAAACTGGAAGTGATGCTGTGGCTCATGGTAGAGTGCTAGCTTTGAGCAAAAAAGCTCATGGATGGTACCTAGGCTCTGAATTCAAACCTCATGACCAACTAAAAAAAGAAAAAGAAAAAAGAATCTAGCCTGGAAAGGCAAATCTACGAGATTGTGTGTGTGTGTGTGTGTGTGTGTGTGTGTGTGTGTGTGTGTGTGAATTGTATGTTGTATGTGCTGATCCTGGAGCTTGAACTCAGGGCCTGGGTGCTGCCCCTTAGCTTTTGTGTTTAAGGCTAGCACTCTACCACTTGAGTCATAGATCCACTTCTGGCTTTTTTGGTCTTTGGAGATGAGTCTCAAGGACATTCCTGCCCAAAATGGCTTTGGACCTGCATCCTCAGATCTTGGCCTCCTGAGTAGCTAATACTGTTAGGCTTGAACCACTGGCACCCAGACCAGACATTTTTTTTTTTGGGTCCGGTCGTGGGGCCTGAACTCTGGGCCTGGGCACTGTCCCTCAGCTCTTCAGCTCAAGGCTAGCGCTCTTCCACTTGAGCCACAGTGCCACTTCCGGCTTTTTTCTTTTTGCTTATGTGGTGCTGGGGAATCAAACCCAGGGCCTCAGGCATGCAAGGCAAGCGCTCTACCACTGAGCCACCTTCCCAGCCCCAGCCCATTTTTTTATCTCCAACTAACCACCAAAAATCCAGAAGTGGAAGTATGGCTCAAGTCAAAGTGACAGCCTTGAGCAGAAAAGGCTAAGCAAAAGCAGAGTTCAAGCCCCAGTACTAACACACACACACAAAACCAAAGCCAAAAAAGTGGCTGGGTGTACTCATACATGAAAATGAGACCCCCTTTACACACTAATTAAAGATAATTTTTTTGGGGGGGTCCAGTTGTGGGACCTGAATTCTGGGCCAGGGCGCTGTCCCTCAGCTCTTCAGCTCAAGGCTAGCACTCTACTGCTTGAACCACAGTCCCACTTCCGGCTTTTTTCTTTTTGCTTATGTGGTGCTGAGGAATCGAACCCAGGGCCTCAGGCATGCAAGGCAAGCGCTCTACCACTGAGCCACCTTCCCAGCCCAAGATAGTAACTTTTATAAGGTGATTGGGGTTCAAATCTTTGAACTTTCCCTTTGGCTTAGATAAATAAAGAGTTATGTCTATGACACTTTAAAGGGACTCCAAAAGAGTTACCCTATGCCCATATTTACATCCTTCCTTCCAGGATGCTTGTGGGCGCCCCCTGGGCTGGCCCGTCCGGTGACCGGACTGGGGATGTTTATCGCTGCTCTGTAGGGGTAACTCACAATGCTTCATGTGTCAAAAGCCACTTGGGTAAGAAGATGTCTGACCATCTCCCATTCTTGACCCCTATTGCCCTTGTAACTTTGACCCTGTATCCAGCATCTTCTTTGCCTCCATAACCCACCCCCTTCGGTCCTCACCTGGGTACTGATCCCCTCTCATTCCCTACCTAACCATCATGAAGTCAAGCACCAGCACCCATGTTCTCGTCTACTCCCCGCCTCCCAGGTCACTGTCCACTGGGAAATTCCTCTCATCCAGCTGTGAACATGCACTTAGGGATGTCTCTGCTCAGCACAGCTGATGATGGAGAGTTCCTGGTGAGCCACAGAGAGGGTGGTGGCTGGGTCTGTGGAGGCCCGCTAGGCAAAAGGTCTGGGAGAGGGCCGGTTGAGGAGAAGCTCAGCCAGCGGGCTAGAGGTCTCCTCTGTCTCCAGCATGTTCTGGGGTGCTCGAACCTGGGGGGGTCACTGTTTCCTCCTCCGACTCCAGGCCTGCGCCCCGCTCTGGTCTCGTGCCTGCGGCACCTCTGTCTTCAGTTCTGGACTGTGTGCCCTCGTGGATGCCTCCTTCCAGCCCCGGGAAACCCTGGCGCCCACTGCCCAGCGTGAGTCTGAGGAAAGGCCTGAGGACCAAGTGCCCAGAAAGGGGTCCTGGGCGGGGAAATATGGCTCAAAAAGGGTATGACTGCCAGGCACGGCGGCTCATGCCTGTAATCCTAGTTATACAGGAGGATGAGACTTGAGGATTGAGACTCAAAGCCAGCCTGGGCAGGAAAGGCTGTGAGATTCTTAGCTCCCGTTAGCTTGCAAAAAAGCTGGAAGTGGAGCTGTGGCTCAAATGGTGGAGCACTAACCTTGACCATAAAAGCTCAGGGACAGTGTCCAGGCCCTGAGTTCAAGCCCCAGGACTGGCATTAAAAAAAAAAAAAAGGGGGAGGTTGATAATTTGCAGGGGAATTTGCATGGCTATGTCTGTTGCTACCTATTGTTCCTGCAAACCACCACCCCTTGTTTCCTAACACATTATAGAGTTTAGACCCCTTACCAAGGCACCAAGACTTCCTGATCTGGTCTAATTAATTAAAAAACTCAACCCTCCACTCTGTATGCCTTTGCCATGACGTTCAAGTCTCCATTCTCCTATTTTCATACCTCTTTTTCCTTTTGTTTATTTTCCACCAACTAGCTTGGTGGTGCCAGTGGGGCATAATGGTAATCAACAAACTGAGGGGTGGGAATGTGGCTTAGTGGTAGAGTGCTTGCCTAGTATGCTTGAAGCCCTGGATTCCATTCCTCAGTACCACATACACAGAAAAAGCTGGAAGTGATGCTGTGGCTCAAGTGGTAGAGTGGTAGCCTTAAGCTAAAGAAGTTCAGGAACAGTGTCTAAGTCCTGAGTTAGGACTGGCAAAAAGAAAAAAAAAAAAGAGTTTAAAGCCCACCTACTGCTCTAATCCTAGCTACTCAGGAGGCTGAGGTCTGAGGATCATGGTTCAAAGTTAGACTGGGCAGAAAAGTCCCCAGGACCACTCAGAAAATGGAAGTGGAGCTTTGGCTCAAAGTGGTAAAGCACTAGCTTGTAACAAAAGAGCTCAGGGACAGTACCCAGGCTCTGAGTTCAAGCCCAGTGGCTGGCATAGTGACTCATGCATGAAATCCTAACTACTTAGGAAGCTGAGATCTGAAGATTGAAGTTCAAAGCCAGCATGGGTAGAAAAGTCCATGGAACTCTTACATCCAATTTATGACCAAAAGGCCAGAAATGGAGCTGCGGCTTGAGAGATAGAATACCAGTCTTGAATGAAAAAGCTAAGGGACAGTGTCTAGGCCCTGAGTTCAAGCCCAGGACACACACACACACACACACACACACACACACACACACACACACAAAGTACCTAATATAGGTTTGAACTGAGTCTCCTGTCCCAGGATTTCTGCCTCAGTCTGTGTTTCCCCTTACTGCACCCTTCCTCCTAGGCTGCCCCACATACATGGACGTTGTTATTGTCTTGGATGGCTCCAACAGCATCTACCCCTGGTCTGAAGTTCAGACTTTCCTGCGGAGGCTGGTAGGGAGACTGTTCATCGATCCTGAGCAGATACAGGTTAGTGCAGGCAATATGGACAGGCTTGGGGGAAGAGGGAAATGCAGGCCACACCTTCCATCGTATCCAGATGTTCATCTCCCTTCTCTCCCCTCTGTCTCTCCCTCCTCCACTCCCTTCCCACATTCATCCCACGGGGTGCACATGCTCTTGTCAGGTGGGGCTGGTGCAGTATGGGGAGAGCCCTGCCCATGAGTGGTCCCTCGGAGATTTTCGGACCAAGGAAGAAGTGGTGAGAGCAGCGAGGAACCTCAGTCGGCGGGAGGGCAGAGAAACCAAGACTGCTCAAGCAATAATGGTGGCCTGGTGAGGCTGTGGGAGGGGCATGTAGGAGGGCGGGGCCATGAAGGATGGAAAGGGGGTGGGGCCGCTTGGCAGGTAATGTGTATGTAGCAGGACACTGGCATGCTTGTCTCTGTGCACACCACATGTGCATGGAGGAAAGCTAAGTTGTGATTGCATTCCCTCTTGTATTTCTACACAGGGTCTAGGTTGGGTGTACGTGTGCACCTGTAGTGGGGCTTGAACAAGTTAAGGCCTGGGCTCTCCTTAAGGTTTTTGATCAAGGCTAGCACTTTACCACTTGAGCTATACTTCTACTTCTGACTTTTTGGTGGTTGGTAGGAGATAAAAGTCTCATGGACTTTTCTAGCCTTGCTGGCTTTGAACCATGATCCTCAGATCTCAGCCTCCTGAGTAGCTAGGATTTACAGGGGTGAGCTATTGTTTCTGACTTCCATGTCTTTATTTATCTCTGTAGACAGTACTCCAGCCCTCTACTCTAACTGGGACTGTGGCTCTCAGCTTCTTCCCCACTCATGCTCTAGCCTTCTTTGCAAGCCTGATCTAAAACTCATGCCTGGGAGACCCTCCTGACTTGATCCTGACTTGAAGACAGTTGTCTTCTCAAATCCAGTATTTGTTGAATGAATGCAGTTTGTGATCATTTGCACTTGTGTGGTGCATTCTTGATGTTCTGTGGCATTCAAATCTTGAGCTGTGCTTCATTGATTCTGTGCCTGTTTCCATGTTAGACATTGTTGGGAAATGGCTGGAAAGACAACATGCCTGACCTCAGTGAATTACTGATAGCATTACATTTTATGTGTGCCAGGTGCCAGTGACTCGTGTCTGTAATCCTAGCTACTCAGGGGGCTAAGATCTGAGGACCGAGGTTCGAAGCCAGCCAAAGGCAGAATAGTCTGTGAGACTCTTATTTCTAATTAACCACCAAAAAAAAAAAACAAACCAGAAGTGGAGCTGTGACTCAAGTGGTAGAATGCTAACACACACACACACACACACACACACACACACACACACACAGAGGAAATTGTATGTGTGTGTACGTGTGATTGTGCGTCATTCATTTCTCTCTCCTTTCAGCACCGAGGGATTCAGCCAGTCCCGGGGTGGCCGACCAGAAGCCGCCAGGCTACTGGTCGTTGTCACAGATGGAGAGTCACATGATGGGGAGGATCTTCCTGCAGCGCTGGAGGCCTGTGAGGCAGGCAGGGTGACCCGCTATGGAATTGCGGTGAGAACCACTCTGGATCTAGAAGGATTAAAGATTATGAACTTGAAGAATAGAGGCCTTAACTACCTCCCGGTCTTTAGCCCTGCCTCCCTCCCTTCCTTTTAGATGGTATTGTTCTGTCACTCCTTACTTCACAGAGAATGGGCACCATCCTTTTGTCTTTCTTGTATTTTCTTTTTCTTGTTTTCTTTATCATTAAGTAGTTGTACAAATAGGTTTCAATTCAATGTCATCCACATCACTTTGATCTTTCTCCCTCATCTCTCCCAATCCCACCCACCCCTTCAACTTTCCTGGTTCCATTTTCACATCATTTACATTGAACTTCCATATATGAGAGAAAGCATGTGTCCTTCATTTCTCTGAGCCTGAATTACTTCACTTAAAATAATTTTTTTTCCACTGGGCGCTGGTAGCTCGTGCCTGTAATCTTAGCTACTCAGGAGGCTGAGATCTGAGGATTGCAGTTCAAAGCCAGCCTGGGCAGGAAAGTCCATGAGACTCTTATCTCCAATAAACCACCAGAAAACCAGAAGTGGGGCTGTGGCTCAAGCGGTAGAGTGCTCGCCTTGAGCTGAAGAGTGCAGGGACAGCGCCCAGGCCCAGAGTTCAGGCCCCACAACCAAAAACAAAATAAATTTTTTCCAGACCTATCCATTTGTATGTAAATGATGGAATCTCATTCTTCCTGGTACATGAGTAAATTCCATTATGTAACAGATGCCATCTTGCTGTCTTGGCCTCAGGTCCTTGGTCATTACCTCCGACGGCAGCGAGACCCCAGCGCTTTCCTGCGAGAAATCAGAGCCATCGCCAGCGATCCAGACGAGCGTTTCTTCTTCAATGTCACTGATGAGGCTGCGCTAACAGACATTGTGGATGCCCTAGGAGACCGAATTTTTGGCCTTGAGGGTACTGCTTGCCCCAGAAAATGGGAGGTGGCAGTGTGTGTCGGGGATAGGGCTGGAGAATAAGTGGGGTTCCAGAATGAAATGTGTAGGTCAAAAGGGAACTGTCTTCTTCTGAATAGCATGCTGCTGTTTTCTCATTCACAAGGGTCCCATGGAGAAAATGAAAGTTCCTTTGGGCTGGAAATGTCTCAGATTGGCTTCTCCACTCATCGGCTAAAGGTTGGACAGACTCTGACCCCTCCATGCCAGCTCCCAGCCTCAGATTCACTTATGAGGAGTTGGAGGCATGGCTCTGTTGGTAGAGTGTCAGCCAATGAGCAAAAGCGTCAGGTACAGAGTGGAATCCTGGTTTCAGGCCTTAAAAAAAAGGATTCAGCGGGCTGGGATGTAGCTCAGTGGCAAAGCACTTGCCTAGCAAGTGCAACGTCCTGGATTCAATCCCCAGTACCAAAAAAGAAAAGACAAAAAAAAAAAAAAAAAAAAAAAAAGGATTCAGTTATGGGTCCCTCCAATTTTTTTCTTTTCTTTCCTTCCCTTCTTTCCTTCCTTCTACCCTCCCTCCTTCCTTCCCTCCCTCCCTCCTCTCTCCCTCCTTCCTTCCTTCCTTTCTTCTTTCCTTCCTTCCCTCCTCCTCCTCCTCCTCCACCTCCTCCTCTTCTTTCTCTACTTCCTCCTCACCCCCCTCTTCCCTCCTCTGTCAGTACTAGGGCTTGAACTTAAGGCCTCATGCTCTCATTCACCTTTTCCACTCAAGGCTGGCACTCTTTCACTTGAGCCACAACTCCACTTCTGGCTTTTGACTGGTTAATTGGAGATAAGGGTCTCTGGGATTTTTCTGCCCAGGCTGACTTTGAACCACAATCCTCAGACCTCAGCTTCCTATCTAGGATTACAGGTGTTAGCCACTAGTGTCCCAGCTGACTTTTTTCTCCTTATTCCAGACTGCCTTCTCAATAACTCCACCTGGTTCTTCCCTGCAGGATGGGATTCTTTTTGGGATGGTGGGCGCCTATGACTGGGGCGGCTCAGTGCTCTGGCTTGAAGAAGGTCGCCGCCTTTTCCCTCCACGTACAGCCCTGGAGGATGAGTTTCCCCCTGAATTTCAGAACCATGCAGCCTATTTGGGTGAGCAGAAGGGGACTGCGAGAGAGAGGGGACCTAGAGGGCCTGCCTCTCAGCTTGTGCTGTTATCCCCACATCTCCTGTGTCTTTGAGACGCCCCCTCCACTCTGAGCCTCCTTCCCCCCTTTTCTCTTGGATGCCTTGTTCTCTTCTAGGTTACTCTGTTTCCTCCATGCTTCTGCGGAGTGGACGCCGCCTCTTTCTCTCAGGGGCTCCTAGGTTCAGACATCGAGGAAAAGTGATTGCCTTCCAGCTGAAGAAAGATGGGGCTGTGCGGGTCTTCCAGAGCCTCCAGGGGGAACAGGTATGCCATCCTGAAGGGTTGGGGGTGGGGGGGGGGGGAGCGAGGGAAGGGATGACACTGTCCAAATACAAACGTGCTCTTTACCTGACTTACGTAACTGTAACCTCTCTGCACACCGCCTTTATAATAACAATATATATTTTTTTTTTTAAAGAAGGGTTGAGGAGCCAGGGCACGGGTGCCATTCAGTAAACCGAGATATAAGAATCATAGTTTAAAGCCAAGCCAAGCAGGAAAGTCCACTAGGCACTTACCTCCCATCACCCAAAAGCAGAGACAGAGACAGACAGACAGAGAGAGCCAAGAGAGAGAGAAAGCGCACAAATGGTAGAAAGTGTGAATTTTGGTGGGCAGAGTTTATTAGGGATGTGAGGATCATATTGGCAGATTGGTGCACGTTTCCTGCTGAGGCCGCTTGTCCATATTACCTTCCCTTTCCTCTGGGGTCACTACCACTCATCACTTCCCAGATTGGCTCCTACTTTGGCAGTGAACTTTGCCCTTTGGATACGGATAGCGATGGAACAACAGACGTCTTACTTGTGGCTGCTCCCATGTTCCTGGGACCCCAGAACAAGGAGACAGGACGTGTGTATGTGTATGCTGTGGGTCAGGTGAGACTTCCGGTATCACATAGGACTTGATGGATGGGGGTGGATGGAAAGAGGATGGCACATCCCTCCTGGAGGGGGCAGGAATGTCAAATGTGCGTTTCCTGTGCGCTCACTCCACCAGCAGTCTTTGCTGATGCTCCAAGAAACACTTGAGCCGGCAGTCTCCCAGGACGCTCGGTTTGGTTTTGCCATGGGAGCTCTTCCTGATCTGAACCAAGATGGTTTTGCCGATGTGGCTGTGGGAGCACCTCTGGAGGATGGACACCAAGGAGCGCTGTATCTCTACCATGGAACTAAGAGGGGAGTCAGACCTCATGCTGCCCAGGTCAGGAATGCCCAGAACAAGTGGGGGACACACCTGGACCCGTAGCTACTCAGAAGGTTGAGATCTAAGGATCAAGACTGGAAGTCAGGCCAGGCAAGAAAATGAGTCTGTTATTCCTAATGAACCATCAAAAAGCCTGCAGTGGAGATGTGACTTAAGCGCTAGAGCTCCAGCCTTGAGTGGAAAGAAACTCAGGAACAGTGCCTAGGCTCTGAGTTCAAGCCCTAGTACCTGCATAAGGAAAAAAAAATTAAGGGAAGGAAGGAAGGAAGGAAGGAAAGAAAGTAGGGAGGGAGGGAGGGAGGGCCTGGCAGAAAATCTAAGAAGCAGGTCTGTGAGTCCCTGCCTCAGTCTCCATTCTCTTCCACCCAGCGGATTGCTGCTGCCTCCATGCCACAGACCCTCAGCTACTTTGGCCGAAGTGTGGATGGGCGGTTAGATCTGGATGGAGACGATCTGGTAGACGTGGCTGTGGGTGCCCATGGGGCAGCCATCCTACTCAGGTGAGGGGCTCTGGTTCTGGTGTGGGGGGGGTTCTGGTTCTGGTTCTTGTAGTGGGGGGCAGGTGAGGGGGTCTGGTTCTGGTAGCAGGGGAAGCACTGCATAGAAGCACAGGACACATCTAAGTCAGAGACTTAGATTTGGGTTTCTTGGTCATCTTCTCCTACATCCCAAGTTTATAGGATGAAAACTTATGGTTTATTGTAAAAGTCAAATCAGTCAATCTAGGTGTTTACTTCATTGAATCTGTTATCTGACTCTGTGTGTGTGTGTGTGTGTGTGTGTGTGTGCTCACACGCGTACGCACATGCACACGCAGGTCCTGGGGCTTAAACCCAGGACCACATGCTCTTGCCTGGCTTTTTCTTTTAAGACCACTTGAATCACACCTCCACTTCCAGCTTTTTATTGGTTGACTTGAGATAAGAGTCTCTCAGATTTGCCTGCCTGGGTTGGCTTTGAACTGTGATCCTCAGATCTCAGCTTCCTGAGTGGCTAGATGACCAGCACCAGCACCCAACTCATTCTTTGTTCTGACCATAGGAAGGAAAGCACCAAGGTGGTACTTGTTTTTTCTTCTTTTTCTCCTGCTCCTACTCTTCCTTCTTTTGGTGCAGGGGTCCCTCCAGCGCCTCATGCACAGTCAGCAAATACATGAGTTCTATCCCCAGCCTGGGCTCATACCTTTCTCCCCCCTTTTCTTTGTGCCAGTAGTGGAGCTTGAACTCAGGCCTGTGATTTTTCTCTCAGGCCTGGCTCTCCCCTTGAAGTCACACCTCCATTTCCAGCTTTTATTTATTTTTTGGTGGCTCATTGAAAATAAGAGTCTCATGGACTTCCCTACCTGGGTTGGCTTCCACCTTTGAATCTCAGATCTCAGTCTCCTGAATGGCTAGGATTATAGGTGTGAGCCCCCAGACTCCGGCTGTCCAAAGGCTTCTCCTTTTGCGGCTAGAGTATCTTCCCTGCCCTGGTCCCAGCTCCAGACCCATTGTCCACTTGGCTCCATCACTCAATGTGACCCCGGCAGCCATCAGCGTGGTTCAGAGGGACTGTAGGCGGCGAGGCCAGGATGCTGCTTGCCTGACCGCAGTCCTTTGCTTCCAAGTGACGTCTGGCACCCCTGGCCGCTGGGATCGCCAATTCGGTGTGTGACTCAATCCTCAGCCCCTGCCCCACCCCTCTCGCAGAGCTCTGCATCCACCTCCATGCTCACCCTTGCCTCTTCCATTCAGACATAAGATTCACCGCATCGCTGGATGAATGGACAGCCGGGGTCCGGGCGGCTTTTGATGGCTCTGGCCAGCGGCTGTCTCCTCGACGGCTCCGACTCAGTGTGGGAAATGTCACCTGTGAGCAGCTCTGCTTCCACGTGCTGGTGAGCAGGGGGCGGGGCCTCACTGCAAAAGGAGCAGGCAGGTCCCAGCAAGGGTGAGAATCAGCAAGAACGCAGAAGCAGGGAATGGAAGATGATTCAGATGGGCATTTGAATCCTGCTGTTCATCACTGGCAACTCTCCCATGTCACTTCACATCCAACACTCAGTTTCCTTGTCTGCAATAATAGTAACTAGTTCACTGAAGTTGTATCACTGGTGGCTCACGCCTGTCATCCTAGCTACTTAAGAGGCTGAGATCTGAGGATCGTGGTTCAAAGCCAGCCCAGGCAGGAGACTCTTATTTACAATGAACCAGCAAAACAGCAGAAGTGTAGCTGTGGCTTGAGAGCACCAGCCTTGATCAAAAAAGCGAAGGGACAATGCCTAGGCTCTGAGTTCAAGCCCCAGTACTAGCACAAAGAACAAAGTAGGCAATTTCAGAAGTATTTTTAAAACCTTAGCACAGTGCCTAGTACACGGAAAGTTCTCCATTAATGATCATTTCAGCAGTACATTTTACCAGGGACTGGAGTTGTACCCAGAACCTGGTTCCTCACCATGTCTGACTTGGATCTCCCACAGGATACCTCAGATTATCTCCGGCCGGTGGCCTTGACTGTGACCTTTGCTGTGGACAACTCCACAAAGCCGGGGCCTGTGCTGGATGAAAGTTCACCCACCTTCATAGGAAAACTGGTTAGGAGTACTAAGCTCCACCTTGCCTCTGGGTTCCAGGACTACCTACCCAGTGATTTCAAGAGAGAGGGGTGGGGGAGTGAATGGAGATGGAGGGGCTGCCCTAATCGAAGTACACCTACTTTTTTCCTTCACTTTCCTCAAGTTCCATTCCTTTCTCCTTGCCTTCTCCTCAGCCCTCCTGACCCAACCTTGTCTCTCTTCCAGATCCCCTTCTCAAAAGACTGTGGTCCTGACAATGAATGTATCACTGACCTGGTGCTCCGAGCTAATATGGACATCAGAGGGTCCAGGTTGGATATAAACTGGGCAAATAGGGTAATCTGAGATAAGCCAGAGGAAACTTGAAAGGGTGTGTGTGTGTGTGTGTGTGTGTGTGTGTGTGTGTGGTTACTTTTCTTTCTGTGTGCTGGTTCTAGGACTTGAACTCAGAACCTTGTGCTCTTGCTTAGCTTTTCACTCAAGACTGTTTTCTCTACCACTTGAGCCACACTTTCACTTTCCACTTTTTGCTGGGTAAGTGGAGGTAAGAGTGTCTTAGATTTGTCTGCCCAGGCTGTCTCTGAGCTGCTGATCTCAGCCTCCTGAGCAGCAAGGATTACAGGCCTGCCCACCTTGGGGGAGGGGGGATTGTTTCTTTTTTTTTGGTTTTACTTAATGGCCAAGCATTTTTAATGTATACTCCTTTGCAATATCACTTTGCTTCTTCATGCCAATGAATCTTGGGACTCCTTTGGGTCCACAAAATGTGGCAGAAATAGCCTTGCCAAAGCTCAAGGATCAAAAGTCCCCACATTGCCTTTTTTTTTCCTATTCTTTTTATGCTATTTAGGTTTTTTTTTTAGGTTTTTTTTTTTAAATTTTTTATTGTAAAGATACTATATAGAGGGTTACAGTTACCTGAGTAAGGTAATGAGTACAATTCCTATTGAGCATTGTTACCCCCTCCATTGTTTTCCCCCTACCATCCCTTCCCTCCCTACCTTCCCTGAGGTTCTTTTTTTTTTTTTAATTGTGATTAAGTGATTACATAATTTCCCAAATTTCACAGTATTGTGGAATAATGATGCTCATTTAAAGTCACAAGTTCATTCTAACTTTCCTGGAGCAAATTGTCTATCACAGTCTATAATATATAACAGTGTACACATATACACCATACATACGATCAGCAGCATGGGGATATTTAGTAGTGGTTCGACCAGATGAGTGGGAGTTCTTTGTTTCTTAAGTCCCATTAGTTTTGTTGTATCACCTAACATTTTGGATTTAGCATCCACTCATCAGGGAGACCATGTACCGTTTGTCTCTTTGCTCTTGGCTTACCTCGCTCAACATGATTCCTTCTAGCTCCATCCATTTCCCTGCAAATGCCATTATTTTGTCATTTCTAATGGCTGCATAAATTCCATTGTGTATAGATACCACAATTTTTGGATCCATTCATCTGTGGTGGGGCATCTGGGTTGTTTCCATATCCTAGCTATTGTGAACAGTGGTGCAATAAACATGGAAGTGCACGTGTCCTTGTATATTGGTTCCTGTTGTTCAGGGTAGATGCCTAGAAGTGGTATGGCTGGGTTGTAAGGGAGGTCAATCTTTAGTTTTCTTTTTTTTTCTTTTTTTTGGGTCCAGTCGTGGGCCTGAACTCTGGGCCTGGGCACTGCCCTCAGCTCTTCAGCTCAAGGCTAGCGCTCTACCACTTGAGCCACAGCGCCACTTCCAGCTTTTTTCTTTTTGCTTATGTGGTGCTGAGGAATCGAGCCCAGGGCTTCATGCATGCAAGGCAAGTGCTCTACCACTGAGCCATCTCCCCAGCCCTCAATCTTTAGTTTTCTAAGGACCCTCCAGACTGCTTTCCAAAGTGGTTGTATAAGTGTACATTCCCACCAGCAGTGTAATAGGGTTCCTCTTTCTCCACATCCCCTCCAGCATTTGTCGTTGGCTGATTTGTGGATGTGGGACATTCTGACTGGGGTAAGGTGGTATCTCAGGGTTGTCTTTATTTGCATTTCCTTCACCACCAGGGATGATGAACATTTCCTCATGTGTTTCTTTGCCATTTTTATTTCTTCATCTGAGAAGTCTCTCTTTAGTTCCCTTGCCCATTTAGTAATTGGTTTGTTAGGTTTGGGAGGGATTAGTTTCTTGAGTTCTCTGTATATACAGGATGTTAACCCCTTGTCTGATATATTGCTGGTAAATATTTTTTCCCAATTAGTTGGTTGTCTTTCTAGCTTGGTTGCGATAGATTTAGCTGTGCAGAAGCTTTTTATTTTAAGGTAGTCCCATTTGTCAAGTCTCTCTCCAATTTGTTGTGACCCTGGGACTCTGTACAGGCCCGCCCACCTTGGGGGAGGGGGGATTGTTTCTTACCACAGATAACAGGAGTGTTGGGCATCACTGGGCATCTCCTGGTCTCTCCTTTGTCCATCGCTTCCAGGAAGGCTCCATTTGTAGTTCGAGGTGGCAGGCGGAAAGTACTGGTGTCAGCAAGTCTGGAGAACAGGAAAGAAAATGCCTACAACACTAGCCTAAATCTCAGCTTCTCGAGAAACCTCCACTTGGCAAGTCTCACTCCTCAGGTACCTTAGAGAAAGGGATTTGAGAGCAGGAGATAAGAAAGGGAAAATTAGAGTTTGACCTTGTTTGTAGTGTGTGTGTGTGTGTGTGTGTGTGTGTGTGTATGCATATGCCAATCCAGTGATACTCTGCCACTTGAGCCACACCCCCACTTTTGGCTTTTTGCTAATTGGAACTATATATAAGTCTCACAGACTTTCCTGCCCAGGCTGGCTTTGAATGGTGATCCTTAAATCTCAGCTACCTGAATAGTTGAGATTATAGGCGTGATTGCCTCAAAGAAAGGCTCAGTTTTTAAAGGCTGTAGGTAGGAGAGGGTACAGCCAAGCTGTAGCCCCACCCACACTCCTCTGCCTTTAGAGAGACAGCCCCATAAAAGTGGAGTGCACCACCGGTTCCCCTCATGCCCAGCTCTGCAGCATGGGGCATCCGGTCTTCCAGGCTGGAGCTAAGGTAAGTCGTGACTTGGGATGAAGAAAGGGCTCTGGACAACCGGTGGCTGGGAGCTGGGAGGCCTGGGTAATCATTCAGGCACACAAGGGTTCCTAAAGGAAGTAATCTCTGGTTTGCCCCTAGGTGACCTTTCTGCTGGAGTTTGAGTTTAGCTGTGTCTCCCTTCTGAACCAGGTCTGGGTGAGACTGACTGTCAGTAGGTGAGGACAGGGGAAGCTCCTCCCTCTCCTATTGAGTCTTGGCTAGAAGTTGGGGTCAGGGGTGTGCCCCCTGTGTCGGTAGCCGGGTATCTAAGGAGGGCCTGTGTGTGAACTGCCCCCCCCGCCCCATCCCTGGTTCTGCAGCAGCAGCCTGGAGAGAAATGGAACCCTGCAAGATAATACAGTGCAGACATCTGCCTACCTTCACTATGAGCCTCATCTGCTGTTCTCCAGGTATGGCCCAACTTCTGGCTGGGACACAGCTGGGGCACCAGACTCATTTCCTTTATGTTTCTCCCATTCTTCCAATGGGATGCAGTGTTCCCAGAAACACGAATGTCAAATCTTTTCGTCCTCATTCCTACTCATGATCAACTATCTATCTATCTATCTATCTATCTATCTATCTATCTATCTATCTATCTATCTATCTATCTATCTATCTTTCTATTTAATTTTTGTTGGTTGTTGGGCTTGAACTCTGGGCCTGGGCGCTGTCCCTGCGCTCTTCAGTTCAAGGCGAGCACTCTACCTCTTGAGCCACAGCACCACTTCCGGTTTTCTTGTGGTTTATTGGAGGTAAGAGTCTCATGGACTTTCTTGCCCGGACTGGCTTTGAACTGTGATCCTCAGATCTCAGCCTGCTGAGTAACTAGGATTACAGGAGTGTGCCACTGACACCCGACTTACATTCCATGTCTTATTTATTTATTTGCTTATTTATTTATTTTTGTCAGTCGTGGGGCCTGAACTCTGGGCCTGGGCGCTGTCCCTCAGATCTTCAGCTCAAGGCTAGTGCTCTACCACTTGAGCCATAGCACCACTTCCGGCTTTTTCTGCTATGTGGTGCTGAGGAATGAAACCCAGGGCCTCATGCATGCAAGGCAAGCGCTCTACCACTGAGCCACCTTCCCAGCCCTCCATGTGTTTTTAATCCTTGTACACTTTTCCCATGTGCTGTTCCTGCCTTCCCTGATCCTGTGTCCCTGTGTCCCTGCGTCCTGGCTGTCACCTTGTACTTCCTGACTTGGTGTCTACATAGTGAGTCCACTCTGCACCGCTATGAGGTTCACCCCTACCGGACTCTCCCAATGAATCCTGGCCCTGAATTCAAAACCACTCTCAGGGTGAGAAGCTGACAGTGGGGGTGAGGGTAGGGAGGAGCAATTGCTCTGTGGAGAAAGGATGGAGAGAATCTCTGATGGATTTCAATGGTGTCCCTTACCATTTCCAATTCTCCCAGGTTCAGAACCTCGGTTGTTATGTGGTCCGTGGCCTCATCCTCTCTGCCCTCCTTCCAGCTGCAGCCCATGGGGGCAATTACTTCCTGTCTCTATCCCAAGTCGTCACAAGCAATGTGAGTCTGGTGGGCTAGAGCATGTGGAACCTGGCTGCCTTGAGCTGGTGAACTCACTGAAGCCAGATTTTGTACTACTTCCCTAGGCTGGCTGCTCTCAGGGCTCCTCTTCCTGTGAGATCTTTCTTTTAATAGAATAATAATAATAATAACAACAACAACAACATCTATTTCTTGTGTATATGTGTGTGCTGGTCCTGGGGCTTGAACTCAGGGCCTGGGCACTGTCCCTGAGCTCCTTTTACTCAAGGCTATCACTTGAGCCACAGCTCCTACTTCCAGCTTTTTTGGTGGTTAATTAGAGGCAAGATTCTCATGAACTTTCCTGCCGCGGCTGGCTTTGAACCATGATCCTCAGGTCTCAGCTTCCTGAGTAGCTGGGATTACAGATGTGAGCCACCAGGCTCTGGCTCAGAAGGGTGTTTCAAGTTAGGTCTTCCATAGGCAAGCTGCATAGTCCAGAACCTGACGGAGCCACCAGGGTCCCTTGTGCATCCAGAGGACCTTCAGCACACGAACAGGCTGGTATGAATCAGGAGTGGGTGTCCAGAACAAGAATGCAAGCAGAGCAAGGTGTGGGGAGGGGAGTGTGGGAAGCTTTTTTTCAGGATCCTGATCTGGTCTCTCTTCTCATAGAATTTGAGCAACACGCAGTGTCAGGTGGTGAGATGCCACCTGGGGCAGCTGGCAAAGGGAGCTGAGGTCTCTGTTGAAGTTCTGAGGCTGATCCACAATGAGTTCTTCCGGAGGGTAAGCTTTCCCTTCTCTTCTCCCCTCCTGCTTCTGTCTGACACATTAACATCCATTTTGGAGGTAAACAAACCCATGTAAAAATTTCAGTTTTGCTTCTTGCTGGCTATTGGACCATGAACAAGTCATTCATCTCTCTAATCTTCTCTATGTTCTTCTTCCTAACGCGTGTGTGTGTGTGTGTGTGTGTGTGTGTGTGTGTGTGTGTGTGTGTGTGTATGTGTGCCTGCCTGCCTGCCTGCCTGCCACTCCTGGGGCTTGAATTCAAGGCCTTAAGCTCTCATTTAGCTTTTATGCTCAAGGTTGGCACTCTCCCACTTGACCCCACCCCTCCGCTTCAGCTCCTTGCTGGCCAATTGGCATCTCATAGCTTTCCTGCCCAGGTAGGCTTCAAGCGATAGTGCTTAGATCTCAGCCTCCTAAGCAGGTGGAATTACAGACACAAGCCTGATGGCTCTTTTCACATGTCCTCCCACCACTCTTCACAGGCCAAGTTCAAGTCTCTGACAGTGGTGAGCAGCTTTGAGCTGGGAACAGAGGAAGGCAGTGTCCTGAAGCTGACTGAAGCTTCCTGCAGGAGTGAGGTGGGCTGGAAAACAATGAGAGTGTGAAAACAATGGTGACGGGATGGGGTAAGAGAGGAGGCTTTTTCAGAGTCAAAATACCTCTGCTAAGAAGCAGCAGGTAAGTCAGAAATGATAAGCATTAGTATTCCTGTATTAAGGTTCCCTATGGGGGCAGGCTTTGCTATAATGTGGGGTTGAGAGAGCTGAATAGATGCTTCATGTGAAGAACAACTCCTACTGGGCGCTGGTGGCTCACCCCTGTAATCCTAGCTACTCAGGAGGCTGAGATCTGAGGATCATGGTTCCAAGCCATCTCAGGCTGAAAAGTCCATCAGACTCTTTTCTCCAATTCACAAGTTAAAAGAAAAACACAAAACAGAAGTGGTGCTCTATCAAATGATAGAGCACCAGCCCTAAGTGGAAAAAGCCAAGTAAGAACAAGAGGCCCTGAGTTCAGCATGCGCATGTGCAGACACAGACACCTGTGCATGTGTGCATGCACACACGCGTGCACATCCACACACACACACACACACACACACACAATTCTATTCCCATCAGAACTTCCTCGAGGTGATTCAGACTCGTCCTGTCCTCATCTCCCTGTGGATCCTTCTCGGCAGCATCCTGGGTGGGCTACTCCTGCTTGCTCTCCTTGTCTTCTGCCTGTGGAAGGTAGGCACGCGTGTAATGAGAAATGGGGAGCATGGCACCCACAGTTGGACAGGACTCGTGCCAGGTAGCTAGATAGTCTGTTGGTATCATGCCCAGATCTCTTGCACTGTACTACACAAATGTTGATTGAGTTAAACAAAGCCAAATAAAATAAATCTGAACCCCATATTTTTGAAGAACAAAAGTGAAGACTGCAGATCAGTCTGTGGGCTGCGGGCAAGAGTCCCAATCAGGGTACGTGCCAAGGGCTCTTCTCTCTTCTTCTATAGCTTGGCTTCTTTGCCCGTAAGAAAGTACCAGGGGAGGAAAAAAGAAAAGAGAACATGGAGCAATGAATGTACAATAAGGCTCCAAAACCCCATTCCTGGCAGCTTCTTCAAGAGCCTTGTGAAAAGAGAAGAGCGGTTTGAGAAGTCAGCAGGGACAAGAAGAAGCTTCTGGACTCTCTCCCCAGACCTGCAGTCTTACTTGGTGATACTCTTGGCAAGAGATGAGACTTTACCTCAGACAAGAAGGGCTGGCACAAAACGCTGCTGTCCTTCCACCCCGGGCTTCCCTCCTTGCGATCCCATTCCCTAGTCAACATTGGGGTCTTTGTTTTCCGGGGCCTATTTGTTCCCATCTCCAGTAATCAAAAGAATGTTTGCCTGTGTCCCTGACTCCTTTCACAATCCCTTATCCTGTCTTATACTTTGTTAAGGAGGAGTCCTCCAGGTTATCTTCCTCCATTCCCCTGCTGTGTGTGTGTGTGTGTGTGTGTGTGTGTGTGTGTGTGTGTGTGTGTGTGTGTGTGTGTGTTTTACCTTCCTGCCTCCTCCTCACTCTACAGGAGGGAGCTGACATTGGCTTGAAAGAAGTAAAGTCAACATCTGCTGCTTTCCTGTGGAGCCTAAGTGATTCATAGAGCGGATGGGGAGAGTCCACAGGAAAAAAGGAGGGAGGAGGAAAAGCCACAAGAGACATTCTGTACAATCCCAAGGAACAGAGGGGCTTTTAGACAGGCAACTGCCATCCACGCCTGAAACCTGAGACTCCGTGGTACACTTGCCTGCCCTCAGGTGCTGGGGAAACAGAGCTGCCTCTAGGCTTGCTGGCACCACCTTCCCAAGCCTCGGCCTTCCTTGGAAGATCTGATTTTTTTTTTCCTGGAGCCAAGGGTCCCCCAAGTGGCTAAAGCTAAAATAGCAGAGAAGACAGGATACCCTAGGCAGTGTGTGTGCATGTGCCTCTGTGTGTGTGTGGTATATGTGCGTGTGTGCGTGTGTGTGTGTGTGTGTATACTAGGGCTTGAACTCAGGGCCTGACACTCTTGCTTATTTTTTTCACTTAAGGTTAGCATTCTACCACGTGAGCCACAGCTCCACTTCAGCTTTTCTGGTGGTTAACTGGAGATTAGACAGACCTTCCGACACAGGCTAGTTTTACACCATGATTCACAGATCTTAGCCTCCTGAATAGCTAGGACTATAAGAACTAGCTTCTGGTGTCCAGTTATCCCGGGCCTCCCTCTTTAACTGTACCAAGACTGAAGCGTGAGGATTACTACTTGATCATGGGAAGAACCTTTTCCTTGTCCGTCCATGAGATTGACATTTAAAAGCCAGACACTAGGCTGAGCTCTCAGAAACAAGCCCTCACCTGTCCATCTTCGACTGTATAGCATTATAGCATGCATAGTTCCTAGGGCAATGTTTCTGGAGCAACCTTGGTCATTTTTTTTGGGGGGGGGGTCCGGTCGTGGGGCCTGAATTCTGGGCCTGGGGGCTGTCCCTTAGCTCTTCAGCTCAAAGCTAACGCTCTACCACTTGAGCCACAGCACCACTTCCGGCTTTTTTTCTTTTTGCTTATGTGGTGCTGAGGAATCGAACCCAGGGCCTCATGCATGCAAGGCAAGCGCTCTACCACTGAGCCACCTTCCCAGCCCCACCTTGGTCATTTTTTAAAAGGGTTTTTATGATAGAATCAGTTTGTCAGCTCTTATGTGATGTTTACTGGAAACCCCCAAAGTAAATTCTATATTTAAACCACCAGTCTTGCTTCTATCTTGGTCACAACCAGCAAAGAAAATTGGATTTTCTCCCTTTTTTTCCCAAAATTATTTTTTTAGTTTTTTTTTTTTTTTTAAATGTGCTGATGGGCTTGAACTTGGGGCCTTTCACTCTTGCTTAGTTTTTTTTTTTTTTTTTTTGCTCAAGGTGGCATTCTACCACTTGAGACACAGTTCTACTTCTGGTTTTTTGTTGGTTAATTGAAGATAAGAGTCTCATGGCCTTTCCTGCCCAAGCTGGCTTCCTCAGATCTCAGACTCTCAAGTAGCTAGGTTTATGGTCATGAGCACTCAGCCAGCAATTTGATTTTCAGATATACTGAGAAACTTGGTTTCTTTTTGTGTCATCAGGATTTTGGATACCAAAATCAGTAATTGGTCTCCACAGTGAAACTCTGATTTAGCATTGGAAGAATCAGCGCTCATTTCAAGTTAGACAGAGCAAAGATTCAGTTGCATAAGGGGAATATTGGCCAGAGAACCTGTCTTTCCAGGCTGTTCTTGAGGCCTGGATGAATGTTTATTTTGGTATGCATCTGACCTTCGGCAGAGGGCTACCTCCCTGGGCATTGTCTGTTTCCCAGCAGAGTAGACAATATATCAGATGGTGAGGACAAATAAAGTTCAGTGTCAAATGACTTCTGACTCTGTTTGAGTTTCCTAGGATATAGCCTGCTCAAAAATGGTGAGTAAATGGTGGGCAAATTTTTACTTTATCTGATTCTTTTTGTTTGTGCTGGTACCAGAGTTTGAATTCAAGGCCTAGACACTATCTCTTAGCTTTTATGTTAAAAGCTTTTATGTTAAAAGCTCTACCAGTCGAACCACACCTCCACTTCCAGCTTTTTTGGTGGTTATTTGGAGATAAAAGTTTCATGAACTTTACTGCCCGGGCTGGCTTTGAACCATATTCCTCAGATCTCAGTTGGGATTATAGGCATGAGCCACCAGCACCCAGCTTGCCTGTGTCTTTATATTGTAGATTTCCTAGGGCTGGGAAGGTGGCTCAGTGGTAGAGTGCTTGCCTTGCATGCAGGAGGCCCTGGGTTTGATTCCTCAGCATGCACCACATAAGCAGAAAAGGCTGGAAGTGGTGCTGTGGCTCAAGTGCTAGAGCACTAGCCTTGAGCTGAGGAGCTGAGGGACAGTGCCCAGACCCAGAGTTCAAGCTCCACAATGGACAAAAAAAAAAAAAAAGTAGATTTCCTAGAAGAGAAAGTTATAAAGTATATTTTGATTATTTTCTGTGATTCTCCCATGTGAAATGTGCTATAGCCTCCTGTAATTCTCATTTACTTATAGAACTATAGAGTATAAGGTGTGTAGGTTCAGGAAGTACAGAAGGCTGGGAAGGTGGCTTAGTGGTAGAGTGCTTGCCTAGCATGCATGAAGCCCTGGGTTTGATTCCTCAGTATCACATACACAGAAAAAGCCGGAAGTGGTGCTGTGTCTCAAGTGATAGAGTGTTAACTTTGAGCAAAAGAAGCTCAGGGAGAGTGCCCAAGCCCTGAGTTCAAGCCCTAGGACTGGCAAAAAACAAAAAAACCCAAAGAGGCCTATATTGAAATCACCCATCTTTTATTTATTAGCCTTAAATAAACATCACTGAGGCTCAGATGACTGTAAGATGCTATTCAGTACAGTTGTTAATAATGAAAACAGTTTTGGAGTTAAATGTAGGCTATACTGCTTCAAACCTGTTTGACCTCAGACAGATTTAACTTTTCTAGGGGTAGTTTTCTTGTCTGTAAATCTATTAGAACCTGGTGCTGGTGGCTCCAGCCTGTAATCCTAGCTACTCAGAAGGCTAAGATCTGAAGTTCTCAGTTTGAAATCAGCCTGGGCAGAAAAGTCCCGGAGACTCTTTATCTCTGGCTAACCAGAAAAGCAAAGGGTGGAGCATCAGCCTCAAGTGGAACAGCACCCAGGCCCTGAGTTCAAGCCCTTGTACTCTCCATCCTCCCCCACCCCCAACCAAAAGTCTCAACTTAAAAGGGAGTGAAGACAGGAAAGATCGGGTTTGTATTTTGTTGTTGCTGCTGTTTTTTTCAGAGAGGGAATGCTAAGATAAAAATCCTCTCTTTGCCCCTTCCTAAGTCAAAGTTGGGTTAGAAAATTGGTCTTGACCCCCTTTCCCTCAGGTTTTGTTCCCCAGGTAGCAGCGGGGGCCCGGTCTTATCTATGTTCAGGGCACAGCGACCTCCTCCTGGTTCCCAAAGCTCTCTTTTAAGTCCTCTTGAGTGCTTGGGGTTTGTTCCCATGGGGCGGGGATGCTGGAGGAGGGGAAGAAGCAGAGGCCCCTGGGTGTAATGAAGTGTCCTCACCGCCTGTAAGAGCCCTCCCTGGGAAGCCGGGGTTCGCCTGCCTCCTCACCGTTCTGGGAGGGGCGGGAATGAGGCGAGCTTCGGGAGAGGCCGGTGCACACTGCGAGGCGGGGCCCAGGACCCGGCCCCGAAAGAGGGGAGGTGCACACTGCAGGGCGGACTGCGGGGTTTGGTGGGTGGGGCGGAGCTTCAGGCCCAGCCCTCGCCTTCTCGTCCCTGATTGGGTAGTGTGGGGGTCTGGGCGGGGCCTGAGGCGGGGCCGCTCTCTGCTTTTTGACAGCCGTCTCCGCCCCGGCTGGCGCAGAGTCCCCGGGTCTGGGCAGCGGTGCCCGGCTCTCCACGCGTCCCCGTCCTCCCGCGGCCCTGGCTCCGGCCATGAAGCGCATCTTCTCCTGCTCCAGCTCGCAAGTGGCGGTAGGTGCCAGCGTGTGTGGCCCGGGTCTGGGTTCGAGACCTCTGCTGGCAGAAATCTCGAGTCCCAGCTTCGTGCACCACGGCGGCCTTCAGCTCCCGTGGTCTGCCCAGCGCTTCCGCAGGGCAGCCGGCCAGCCTCGCTGACCTGACGCCGCTGTCCCCCAGACCGGACCCCCAGCCTCCGACCCGCTTCGGAGCGTCCTCCTTCCCCACCGTCTTGTGCTTCGCTGCTGCTTTCTTGTCCCACTCAGCATCTCCCCCTACTCCCAACTTCTGGAAGGTTCTCTGCAGCCCTGTCATCATCCCAAGGCCCTCCCTGTTCTCTACTGCTGTGTCTGTCAGTCCCAAAAGGCCACCAGCATCTGCCCGGCCCCTCCTCGGGCTTTGGCTCTGTTCGCCCCCCTATCTTCGGTTCCTTACGCACTGCCTCACTTCCACCCTGCCTTCTCCTCCCACCTGGCCCCATCCTTCCCATTTGTTCCCGCCCAGCAGGTACTACACTCAGCCCCACAGCCTCTCATAACCTTCCTTCACAGTCTGCTCTGTCCATCTCACCAACCCTCACCTACACTACTGAACCTCGGGCATCACCCAAAACTCTTTCCAAATGAGCTCTCAAAACAGCAGTTTTGGGCTGTGTGTGTGTGTGTGTGTGTGTGTGTGTGTGTGTGTGTGTGTGTGTGTGTGTGTGTGTACAGGGGCTGGAACTCTGGGCTTGGGCACTACCTCTTAGCTTTTGTTTTGCTCAAGGCTGGCACTCCACCACTTGAGCCACAACTCTATTTTCAGCTTTTTGGTGTTTAAGTGAAGATAAGAGTCTCATGGACTCCCCTTCCCCGGCTGGCTTTGAAACCATGATCCTCAGATCTCAGCCCCCTGAGCAGCTAGATGACAGGCATAAGCCATTGGCACTCGGCTGCACTTTCTGTTCTTTCCTTCAATCTGTGTTCCACTCAGCCCAATGGGCACTCATTTCTACCCAACCTACTCTTTGCTCTGGATCTCCTTTTTGCTTGCTCACTGTGGGTCAGTCTTTCAGGCTAGCTAGCCTGACAGGGACTGCCAAAGGATGCACAACTGTGCCTGGCTGCTTCTCAAAGGATGGTGTGATTCTCCTGCAGAATCTACTCTGGCCAGTTCAGTGCAGTATGCTCATCAGACTGGTATGTGGGCTAGTCAAGGCTTTCTGTCTGTTTCTCTCCAGACTCTTACTCTGAACCCATACCCAGTTGTTAATGACTTAATTTGCTGTTTTCTTTGATTGAAGAAAAGGGAAGATGCTAGAGCAGACACATCATGAGAGTTCCTAGCAGGCCACACTAGTTTCTAGCTTCTGCTGGAACAAAACAGAAGGTTAATGAAGATACCGTATTGTAGTAACTTAGATACTATCTAGTATTTAAGCTAGGTGCTGGGGGCTCTAGCCTGTAATCCTAACTATTCAGGAGGCTAAGATATGAGGATCTCAGTTCAAAGCCAGCCTGAACAAGAAAGTAGACTCTTAATTCCAATTTATCACCAAAAGCCAGGAGTGGACCTGTGGTTCAGGTGGTAGAGCACCACCTTTGAGCAAAAAAAGCTAAGTGACAGTGCCCAGGCCCTGAGTTCAAGACCCAGTGCTGGCACAGAAACAATAAATAAAGAAGATAGTAACTCAGAAAGGATATAGCTTCTCCTTCTCTGAAAATCTCTTATAGACAGACCCTCGCCTTCCTTTCTCCCAATCTGGGAATAGAATTTTCTCTGGAGGTTGGGATTAGAGATCATTCAGAAGTGAATGAACCAGCTACTCATAGTAACATTGCTTGGTTGGCATGACTTAGTGGTGTCATTTATTTGTAAGCAAATATGAGGAATGCTCAGTTAGCTTACTTTGCATGGGCAGGTCACAGAAACTAGGAAGAAAGTTGTGAGGCAAGAGTAGGAACGCTGTTGAGACCTGTCCTGTCCTATTTCCATTTGTTCCTCCATTTAGTTTCTTTACATTGACCAACTTGTCAAAAGAAATTTTAATTATGGGTGCCAGAGACTGTGTCTTCCCTCCCTAGATCCTGTCATAATTTATAATGATTTTCCTATTCATTGATACGGACTATCTAATTAAAATCCCCAACATTCCTTCCTTCTCAGGTTTGTGCTTGGGAATGAGGAACTATTTCATTCTTCCTGATTTTCCAGTCTCTGGGCAGGGCCTCCTCTCAAGTACAGAGTAATGGCTGGATCTTGGAGTTTTAGAACCATTTTTGTGTATTTCTTGACTCTAGATGTCCTGAGGTGTTTTCTTTTTTGTCCTGAAATTTGATCATTAGAAAAGCCCATTCTAAATTTTTTGTGTGTGCATATGCTAGTACTGGGCTTTGAAGTCAGAGCCTAAATACTGTCCCTTAGCTTTTTCCCAAAAGGCCAATACTCTACCACTACTTCTGACTTTTTGGTGGTTAATTGGAAATAAGAATCTCACAAACTTTCTTGACAGGGCTGATTTCAAACTTCAGTCCTCAGATCTCAGCCTCCTGAGTACCTAGGATTACAAGTGTGAGCTACCAGCACTCAAACATTTGTCTTTCTTGGGTCTAGCTGGCCTGAGGTTTGATCACCAGGAGAATCTAAACTCTTCTTAGTATAACAAGATTTTAGGGTGGTGAGGGTCTGAAAGTAGAGAATGGATTTAGAGCAATCTAAAAATGAAACCTATTGCTCAGTCTTGGGTATGCAGTCATAAATAAAAATAAAAATTTTAAAATAAAATATAATAGGTCAGGGTCTGCTATAAGTTGTTTCTTCATGAAATCTTCCCACATGTCCGATGATCATTTCCTCCACTTCTTTGGGGGTTAACAACATTGGGCCCACTTGTCAGAGGAATGCTATGAGTTTTTTCTGGCAACTATAACAACCTAACCTCTTGCTGGTGCCAGGAGTTACCTCACTCTATCCCAGCTCAGATCCCTGAGTCCAACTCAAAGTCCTGCGCCCTCTGGTTGAGGGAAGGACAAAAAGAGCAGTGATTATTCTAAAATTAGTCTATGCAGCCAGGTGCTGGTGGCTCATGCTTCTCAGCGTCTCAGAGGGCTGAGATATGAGGATGGAAGCAGACAAATTCGAAAGAGTTTTGTCTCCAATTAACTAGCAAAAAGCCAGAAATGGAGCTAGGTTCAAGTGGCAAAGTGCCAGCTATGAGTGAAAAATCCAAAACAGGAGCTCAAAGCCAAGTTTAAGCATACATACAGACACAGACACAGACACACACAGACACACACACAGATACAGACACACACACACATCTCCTAAAATCTCATTTTATTTTATTAAAGTACAGAATATCTTCATAAGCATCTTACATATGAGCTTACTCTACCTAGGTAGGTAATAGACCAAAAAGCAGATCACTGAATAGCTTTAAATATTGATGCCAGATCAGTTTCATTTGAAGTGTTGTGAGATCCTGCCTGGATCCTCAGGGCAGCTTTTCTATTTCCATTCAACTGTTCTGCAAGAGTAGCCCTTGTGTCCTTCACTACCTTCCATCTTGATAGGATGCTGACAGATACCACAGCCACAGCTAGGAAAGGGTACACTTACTTCAACAAAGGCCTCCTAATCTCAGCTATGGGAATAATGCACTTGTTGATGATTGCTTTGGTGATTGCTCCCTGGGAGTTATGATGGCTATCCAATTTCTATCCAATGTGCTAAGGGATGAATTGGATCTTGGAATCTGAAAGCAATCTCTTATTCTTCTGGTTTGTTTTTTGTCAGTCATGATGCTTGAACTTTGGGTGCTGTCCCTCAGCTCTTCAGCTCAAGGCAAGCACTCTACCACTACAGCCACAGTGCCACTTCCAGTTTTCTTGTGGTTAATTGGAGATAAGTCTCATGGACTTTCCTGCCCAGGCTGGCTTTGAACCATGATCCTCAGGTCTCAGCCTCCTGAGCCACTGGCATCAGCTGTTTCTTGTTCTTGTTTGTTTGTTTATTACTGTTTTTCCTTTTTGTGTGTGCTGGTTCTAGGGCTTGAACTCAAGTCTTCTCACTTTCACTTGACTTCTTTTGCTTGTATCTGGTACTCTATCACTTGAGCCACACCTCTACTTCCTGCTTTTTACTGATTAATTGAGTCTCTTGGATTTATTTGCCCAGACTGACTTTGAACTGTCATCCTCAGATCTCAGCCTCAGTACCAGCACAGAAAAAAGGAAAAAGGAGAGAAAGAGAGAGAGAGAGAGAGAGAGAGAGAGAAGAAAGAAAGAAGAAAGAAAGAAAGAAAGAGAGAAAGAAAGAAAGAAAGAGAAAGAAAGGAAAGAAAGAAAAAAAGACTTTAGAGCCTGGTGTGGTGGCACACATCTGTAATCCTAGCACTCATGAAGTGGAGAAAGGAGGATTGCAAGTTCCACCAATCTGGGTTATATAGCATGAGCCCCTGTCTACAGAAGGAAAAAAAAATGGCTTGAGCCAGAGAACTTCAAGCTGAGGTCATTTGATGGCAGTGCTGTGTGGCGGAGGCCTCTGTGTTCCCGAGTGTGACCTGGTTCCCAGGGTACAGCGTTGTTACATGTCAGAGTCTGTTAGTATGGGGAGTTATTTTGCTTACTTTGTCCTTTGAGAAAGAACCTGTTTGGAGACATCTCCCCAGGGAGTAGCAACTGAGGGTGGGCGGCTGCACCCTAAGGCAAGCTGAGAAGTGTGTGCATCTGGAAACAAGTAACCCTTTTTCTTTTTTTCTTTTTCTTTTTGTCAGTCGTGGGGCTTGAACTCTGGGCCTGGGCGCTGTCCCTCAGCTCTTCAGCTCAAGGCGAGGGCTCTTTAGCTTGAGCCACAGTGCCACTTCCAGTTTTCTCATGGTTTATTGGAGATAAAAGTCTCATGGACGCTGGGCGCTGGTGGCTCACGCCTGTAATCCTAGCTACTCAGGAGGCTGAGATCTGAGGATCTTGGTTCAAAGCCAGCCCGGGCAGGAGAGATCGTGAGACTCCTATCTCCAATAAACCACCACAAAACCG